CTGCACCGACTCTAGTGAATTTATATCCATTCTATAATAAGGGCACCAGAACTGAACCGCATAATCGAGGTGCGGCCTGACTAGCGCAAGATATAGTTGCAATAAGACCTCTGCACTCTTGTTACTTACACTTCTAGATATAAAACCCAATACTCTGTTTGCCTTATTTCAAACATTAACGCACTGTTTTCTAGGCCGTAGGTCCGGGCTTACAAGTACCCCTAGGTCTCTTTCACAAGGCCGCTGTTGCAGGTGTTCTAATCTCTCTGGGTAACTGAGGTGCCATAGAGCAGTCACCAGTCTGGTGGACCTCCTTTGAACACTTTCAATCAATTGACAGTCTCTAGCATACTTCAGGGACCAGACGGGGTAACAGTACTCCAGACGGGGAAACACCTCGCTCTTGAAGATTGTGACGAGCGATGGCGGGGATACAGTGATGGAGACGTTGGCGACTCCAGATGAGAAAAGAGAAAGTCAGGGGTGGATCCAGGAATATCAAGGGGGGTGGGCACTGTAAGCCCCCAGAAATTCTTCTGAAATCTGACCAATATCTTGGGCATTTTGAAACCCTGTGCACTTGATATTAGGAGATTTTATGAGGTCAATTGTAATAACGTTTTACTAAACACAAAAGGTCTGAGTACAATATTATATTGAAGAAAAGTATTGGAATTTTCTGATGAAAAGGGGGGGATCCGGAAATCAAGGACCCCCACAAGATCCACCCTTCAGAAGTGAGAGATAACCAAAATTTTGGGAAATTGAGTTGCCTTTTTATTGATTTCATAAGACCTCGGGGAAAAGGTGCTAACATGACTTTAATATGATAATTGCTGCAGCTGGTACCTAGGGAAAGAGGGTTAATCGAATAATGACCAGGGAAAGCCGAGTAGAAGAGGGTAATGGCTATCCTTAGGTAATGGCAAGCTCCCCAGCCTCTACAGTTTTACAAGCAAGGTTTAATGATGTTGATCTTCAATTCTCTCTCACCTATATTCTAAATTAGGCATTTATTGTAAGGCGTTTTAGACGCACGAAATAGCTAATGCGTTAGCTATTCTGTCTGCAGATGTTTCTGCCGAGTACTGCGCATGACACCTTGAGAAGGAAAAGCGAACACCTTGATCAGGTGTTAGCATGTGCAGCGCGCGAATAGCTGACAACCAATCAGCGAATTTCTCCCACTAAAACAGTGGGTAAATACGCGGATCATGGCCGTTTATAGAGAATATTTTGATTAATATTGAAGAGTTGGAGGCCTGTAAGGCAAAAAAAACTGTGATATAATAATACAAATAATTCTATATATGGTAATATATTGGATAGGACCTAAAACAAAGCATAGGGAGTGAAAGAATTGATAGGATTGCACCTAGTCGAAACCTGTTTTGGCTCTACCCGTTTTTAAGTGGGCACTGAACGAATTCATGAGCCGTTGGTTACTTTGGTGTAACAGTATTTATAATTTCTCAAATATGATTGAAACCTTAATATCATTACTCATAAGATACTTTAAATAAGGGTGAACAAGTTGATTACAGTTCTGTAAGTGCAAAAATGAAGACTTAAACGAACCTGAAATTCGCCGTATTTCGTGTATAAATATGCGAGCACCCAACCGCGAGAGAGAAGTGTGGTTGTATTTTATAATGACAGTCCGGGAATAGCTAATGTGTTAGCTATTCCGTGCATCTACAATAAACGCCTATTATGGCAGACCAATATTTTAAACTTGCATGACAATTTTACTGAATAAATATATCTATATCTGTCTATTCTCTATATCAATTCACACACATCCACACATTCACAACATTGCTTAAGCCGCCTCCTGAAAGCTGGGAAATAATTTCCCAGTGGGAATGCTGTACAGATGCCGTAGCTACTTCACTCTGAGCAGTTGCTTCAAGTTTATAAGAGATTCATTCGTCCTAACTTGGAGTACTGCTCTCATATCTGGGGTGGCTCTTTTTCTGTCCAATTGTTAGATAGGGTGGAATTAAAGGCATTTCATCTTTTTGACTCTCCTTCTTTAGTTAATAATCTTTCTTCCCTTTCTCTTCTCCACAATGTTGCTTCACTCTCTTTTTTACAGGTACTTTAATAGGAAATGCTCGGTGGATTTGGCATCCTGTGTACTGCCGGCAAGGCTCGTAACACTCATCTTGCCCGCGGTGCCCACCGTTTCTCTTTGGCTGTCTGTCACACTAAAACCCGTTATAGTACATCCTTCTTTCCTCACACAGCCATACTCATACTCTGTCTCACTTCAAAAAGCTGGTTTTCTGGCATCTTCGTGGTGCAGATTAATATATGTGTGTAGGTCGATGACCTGTGCCCGGGTGGGCTTGTAGTGGATATCTCCCCTACAACAACTGCCGTTTTTCGCTGACTAGCCGACCCTCTTCTAATTCCCCAGCTTACGTCTCGTGGTCTAGATCAGCAACCAGCGCCGCCTAACAAGGCAGAGGTCAACTATCAACCCACGCCTGCCCCCGCTATATAAGACCTCACCCCACCGTGACCTGCCCTCTTCTATCTACAGCCACCAGCAAGCAACACCTCCTCTGCTCCTACCTGGTGGCTCTCGCTCTCACCGGCGACTATGGCGCCCCACAAGCTGCATGTCCTCCTCTGAGCACGCTCCCCAACCAGCTCTCTCTACTCCATATTTGTATCCACGCTGCCACTTCCCAGCACCAAGCTGCATTGTACATCCAATACAATATGTATACAGAGAGCACATTGTGAGTTTCCTTTCTCCATCCTCTGTTTGTCTTTGATACCCCCAAAATGTTCTACACTACTGAGGGTATACACAAACACTTGTTATCTTGAAAATAGGTTCTTATTCTCGTACGGGAGATGTACAGGGGAACTAATAAGACAGAGCACTTCCACACCATAAGGACTGGTGGTCTCCACTCCTTGTATCACTGCGCGCTGGCATGTACAGATGCCAGCATTCACAAGCTGAATACATAAAATGTAAATATGATAATTCATATACATAACATGGTGCATAATAAATGGAAAATTACATAGAATTAATACATGTTCTGTAATACTTTACTATACATAATACAGTAATATAATAATACACAGCTTAAGGTACTACTTCGTGTCCATATTACACACATCCCACCCTGAGTGTGAACCAATATCTCAACCCCACAAGACACCCTAGAGCAGCACTGCTTCCCTAAGCAGACACCAGCTCCTCTTCCTGCCCCAAGCACCACGTCCTACCTACCCCAACAAGTTTCCTTTCCTTTCTGAGTGTGAACCAATATCTCAAAACCCCACAGGCTAATCACAGTAAAAAAAAAAAAAAAAAAAAATGCAGGTATTATCACTGTCTCACAGGAACGGAAATAGCAAGTGCAGTACCATATTTGGCATAATTATGTTATCAACCAAGCGTCCGTGAAGCTTATTTCCCAGATATTTATTAAAACATTGAACATGATATTCATCATCATAAAGAAAAATAAACTGGATACAGTGGATCACTACCACCAAAATTCATTTATATTCTGTTGTCAGTGTAATTATACTGTGGGGTTCAGGGATGTTTGGTTCACACTTAGGATGGGATGGAGAAAGGAAACTCACAATGTGCTCTCATGTATACATGTTGTATTGGATGTACAATGCAGCTTGGTGCTGGGAAGGCAGCATGGTTACAAGCGTGATGTAGAGAGAGCTGGCTGGTGAGGATGCTCAGAGGAGGACCAGCCTGTGGGTCGCTATGCTCGCCGGCGGGAGAAAGGACCGCCAGGCAGGCGGAGGAGGAGCGAGGGCCGCCAGGCAGCGGCGGAGGAGGAGGTGTTGCTGGCTGCGGCTGTAGCTAGAAGAGAGAGGTCACCACGAGGTCAGGTCTTAAATAGCGGGGGTAGGCGTGGCTTAGTAGTTGACCTCCGTGATGTATGGTGGCGCTGGTTGACCCAGACCACGAGGCATACACTGGGGAATTCGCGAGGTCGGCTACTCAGCGACAAACAGCGTTTGTAGGGGAGAAATCCACTACAATACTCCCCCCCTCCCTTCAGGCGGTGTAGGAGACTTGTTGTCTGCAGGGTTGCATGGCACATGTGAGGCAGAACGGGTGGTGCATGCCACATGTGAGCCATAACTGCGAGGGCGTGGATGAGCCGGCCACTAGAGGAGACAACTGTCTAGATACACAATATCTGTGGGAGTAGAGAGGGAGAAAAAGGGTGTGTGGAGGCGATGAATGTTGTTCTTCCCTCACGGCAGGTACAGAGTCGTCAGATGCGCCTGCTGGGGTGTGTGGGCCTGGGTCAGGAGCAGGGGCTGCGTCAGCAGAAGCGGATGAGGGCTCGTGACAGCAGCTGGGTCCACGACAGCAGCAGGGTGCAGGACAGTAGCAGGGGGGTACCTGAGGGAGAAAAGAGGGGTATGTGGGTCCGCACTCAGGTGCATGGGCCGCGTCGGGAGCAGGGGCTGCATCAGGAGTGGCAGGGGGTACTGCTGGGCCTAGGGGGCGGCGTCTGAAGCAGGACGGGTGTGCTGGGGTAGGTAGGACGGGGTGCTTGGGGCAGGAAGAGGAGCTGGTGTCTGCTTAGAGAAGCAGTGCTGCTCTAGGGTGTCTAACCTGCGGTTTAGAGACAGTAGCTGTAGAGCCGATGAGAGCTGCTTCTGGGTGGATAAACCAATCTTCCATGTTGCTTGAAGACTGGGAGCGTGATCTGTTTCTCCTCCATCCTGTGTGAGTGCGAATCTCCGGGGGTCACCATTTGTGGGAAACAGGATGTTTGGTTCACACTCAGGATGGGATGGAGAAAGGAAACTCACAATGTGCTCTCTATATACATGTTGTATTGGATGTACAATGCAGCTTGGTGCTGGGAAGGCAGCATGGTTACAAGCGTGATGTAGAGAGAGCTGGTTGGTGAGGGTGCTCAGAGGAGGACCAGCTCGTGGGTCGCCATGCTCGCCGGCGGGAGCGAGGACCGCCAGGCAGGCAGAGGAGGAGCGAGGGCTGCCAGGCAGCGGAGGAGGAGGCGTTGCTGGCTGCGGCTGTAGCTAGAAGAAGAGAGAGGTCACCACGAGGTCAGGTCTTAAATAGTGGGGGTAGGCGTGGCTTAGTAGTTGACCTCCGTGATGTATGGTGGCGCTGGTTGACCCAGACCACGAGGCATACACTGGGGAATTCGCGAGGTCGGCTACTCAGCTACAAACAGCGTTTGTAGTGGAGAAATCCACTACAATACTACACTTTTTCATGTGAGCATAAAACTGTGTCTGTACCCTTTAATGTCAAGAAATTATTATAAAGCAAGTGATTAATATAATATTTTTATTTTCTGTGTCCGGATGGGCTATTCCCCTTAAAAAATGGAAAAACATCTACGTCTATGAAACATTCGTTTCGCACAAGATTTATGTAAGTTTCCAATTTTGTGCTTTGATAAGCGTAAAGTAAGTTCATTATTAGGAGTAGTGAGATATCGAAAACTGAGATTAGATAGCCTGATGAAGAACATGCATCTACCAAAATGATGCACAGACGGATTAGAAAATACTGTACTACACACAGCAACTTCCACAAGTTAAATGTTCTTTTAAATTGTTTCACTCAATATTTGAAGGCAACAATCATAATTCATGAGTTCATTATACCAAAAAAATAAGGTGGCTTCGTTAAGCACGATAAATATACAGTGATAACAGTGATCTATAGAGCCCACGCTTATGATTTTAACGCTTTGGAATTTAATTCGGCGATAATCTCCTGCGTGAATAATACCAAAAAAAATTCATAATGAAAGCATCGCACAGTTGGCGGGCAGGTCAGTGGTTTCTGCCAGGTTTTATAATGTATTTATATAATGCAGTTTTCCTTAACACTAATTCTGAACCCGCTTATATATATATATATATATATATATATATATATATATATATATATATATATATATATATATATATATATATATATATATATATATATATACACAGTATTGTGATAGATATTCCCTGAACTACACTTCCACTCTTTAAAGCTCCTTGCGACATTTTATAAGTGTGCTAAGAGTTAATGTATGTGTGTGTGTTGGTGCGACGGCAACGTGGAGGATGTTTACCTCCTGTCCTGGCCGGAGTCAGAAGGCACCCACCAGCTGACTGTCTCAGATGGTTTATAGTTAGTCTTTTCCTTGATGACGACTTCTCTTCTGCTCTGCTATCTCCCATCTCACCTCGCACAACTGCCACAAAATGCTGAAGGAATACCGGATATGCATGCCGATGACTGTGGAGGAGGTAATGTAGTGTCGGGGAGACGAGGAGGATCACCTACCCTGTAAGAAATAGTAGGTTGAGGAGTTAAAAGTCAGGGATTATCACTTGATTGATGCAGCACTTGTGATGAAAATTTCCACACGCTTTATGTTAAAATCTAAGATTTTAAAGTTTTGAGAGTTTTCTGCACGATTTTAGCATATCTCTGAGGACAAGCATTAGAAATGTAACTAGATTTAAATAAGGCAGGACTTAAAACATAAATTGAATGCAAGCAAGTTCACTGGGAAGTCAAGGGAAAAATGAGTGCACATTAGAATGAATGATTACCGTTACTATATAATGGAATGATTTGTTTTGCATCCAAATTATGTGATTTCCGACGGATATGAAGGTTCAAATCGTTTAAAACACATAAAACTAACTGGCCTGTCCAACGAATTACCCAAAAGTACCCAAAAGTATATAAAATCAGGGTAAAATCTTAACGAATATATGTTTTACATCAATAAAACCTGATTAATAATGTTTTCATTGAAATGTAGTAAAAATAATGAAATAATAAACAGCAAAAAACGCTAAATTCCAAAGAGTCACCTATCCAAAATGGAGATATAATTACCGATGTTTCTGTTACTTTGGGGTATTTAACATAGCCGTAGGATTTACTTTTTGTTAGGTTAGGTTAGCGAAGTGCATCACGATGGATCTGAGTTATCTCCCGTGTTCACGAACTCTTTGGAATTTAGCGTTCGCCAATACTGAAAGTTTTTCGCTGTTTATTATTTCATCTTACAAATTATTTTTACAAAATTACACAAAAAATATTATTAAACATGTTTTGTGTATGTATAACAGATATTCTTTAAGATTTTACCCTTATTTGCTATACTTTTGGGTAATTCGTGGCTCCCCTAACTGGCTCATCGTCCAATACCAGTGAACAACTCAAGAATTATATATGACCGTGATTCTGACGGCATTTGGCATTTATTTCGCCGTGAGTCGATCGTTGTGTAGCTGTAAACGTACCTAACCCTATTTCTCTGTTGTGCATGGAAACTTATTATAAAAAGAGGTGACATTTACTAGAACCTAATAGAACCTTACCTAACCAACCAAAGAAACCTACCCAACCTTACCTAACTTCCTTGCCGTTGGGGGGAGAGCCCCCCATCATATTAAACAGAAAGTACTTAGCCAATCAGAGCGCACTTACGGTAAAATAGCATTACTGTAGTAGCAACTTAGTCGGTCATGGTAAAATATCCACTACGTTTAGAATAACACCAGAAGGAGTTGTTAGAATTGGACAAAACCTTGTGGAAATGTTAATTACAATATATTAAATAGATAAATGGAAATGAGAATCCTTTCAGTGTCCTGAGGTATGTTTAAAAAAAATTGTTAGGTAGGTTACTTTAGGTTAGGTCAAGTTCTAATAGCTTCTGTGCATTCTTGTTTCTATTTGTCTATTTAATTGATTGTAATTAATGTTTCCACAAATTGTTATCCAATTCTATCAACTCCTGGTGTTATTCTAAAAAAAAAAAAAAATCCTGGAGCAGATTGCTAACACTATTCACATTTTGCGATGTTTCCAATAATTCCTTGCTCCATTTGATGTAAGATCCCATTGATAACTGTCATGACATTGGTGTCCATGTAATGTATGATCTGAAACCTCAGAGGTTTCACATCGTTTGAAAACGTATATACAGTACTCATTCATGCTCAAAGGTCATGGATGTAGAACTACCAACCGTTCAGAAACAGGTCTTGTAACACTGCTCGAAAAGCCTCAATTCACATCGACCCCATGGCTAACGGTACTTTTTGGGGGACTGTACAAACACCTGCAACTTCCTGCATGCCATTTTTCATGTGATATGTTGCTTAGATACAAATGCATCCAATGAACGTTTTATACAAGCAAACACTTTCAGCGGCCTTTCCAAATATTTTATGTACTACCGGTATATAGTATTTAAATTCCAGGCCAAAATGAACTAACCTACCTAACCTAGAATATGTTACGTACATCATCATTAGGTAAGGTTAGGTAGATTTGGATGGCTCATCGTATTTTGTTTAAATAATAGAATGTAGCTTTCACCTGAAGTTATTTTGTGTATGAAATGGTCATAGGAAGCATTTGTTATGTGTGGTAAACAATCAAAGTTGCATTGTGGGATATTACAGGTGGATGTAGATTAGTGTTCATGACAAATACTGTGATTCTTATGATTACTGTGCAGTACAGTACTGTAATATGTGGTTTTGTGAAGGTAAAGAATTTTTATGTAGTTGTACTGTATGATTTATTTGTTTTTCTTTTTTTCTTTTTCCACCACTCGTCAGATTACCAGCCATTTCGGCAATCATTCTGTTTTACTTTGATACGATCTTCAATGCTGAAAATGATTTAGATGCTTTACTCTTGTAAATTAAATATCATTTTCTGTTAGTACAGGAGGAAGCCAGAGTGTCTGGAGATTTTCAATGTTTGGGAGGGTCACACTAGACAACGCCAGTTTCATTTCCAACCCAGTTGGGGATTAAATCCAGATTGCAGTATTAACGAACTTATCCTCTTTTCCACTTTTTTCTTTTCTAATTAGTCGAGAAGTGGGTCTGTACTTTTTATGCATTGTTGGAAAGTACTGCACTGGGCATGTATGGGCTCTTTAATGTACCTGAACATGTGCCAGTGTTGGTCAATTGTTTTGAATACTGTACTAGAGTTGAGCACGGAGGCTTTATTCAAGCATTCTTTACACATCTGAGCACTGTAGCTTTTTCTAGAAACTATAATTTTTTTTTCACAGGTTTGCAACCATTTCTTCCTTGCATTTCTGCCACGTATAATTTCACCATATTATCTAAACATGTGTGAGATGTGGATTGTTTGATTGAATATTAAGCCCAGACCTAAATTGAACATTTATTCTCCCCATTTTAGCATGGTAGCTCATCACTGTTTTATTTCTTTCTTTCAATTTAATGGAAGTCAAACAAGAGGTATGCAAATAATTTTTTTTATATCTAAAGTACAGTAATCTGTTTGTAAGCTCCTACATAATACTGTATAGATATGCAGTTAGAATAAGTTTAAAATGTACAGTATTGTGTTACTTAAGAAGTGCACTGTTTACAGAGATAGGCATGTTGGTGACTTTTACTGAGTGTCTCTGATAAATACGTGATGTAGAAGTGATACAAATAATTTTTACGTTGTACAATATATTACTGTACATTGAATTTTGAGCATGGAAGGACTCCAGTCAGATTACTCTCTTGACTACCTCTGACATGTGATGTTCAACAGATATAATATCATTATCACCGGGTACAGTACTCTACAGTATATTGAAAAATCCGTCTCATAGTTACTGTGAACACATTTCATTACTAAGTTTTATTGCTATTCCAGTACCACATTGGGCAGCTCTACATGATTGCCCGGCACAGCTCAGAACAGAGTGATGGAGGAGAGGGTGTAGAAGTAATTGAAAATAAAGCATACACTGACCCCATCCAGGGCTCTGGGCAGTTCACTGAAAAGAGAATCCATCTTTCAGGGTATGTAAAGTACAGTAGCTTGCATCCAGCCTAGGTAAACATGTACGCTGTATAATCAGGTCTTCATTTTGTTAAGATAAGGGTTACATCATGGATCAGGTGATATGCATCTGATCTTTAGTCTATAAATGCTTTGTATAGATAACATGATATGTGTCGAAGATTTTAACTCATAAAATTTCTATTACTGTTATCTGCTTTCTTATCTACAAGGAATTTATTGCGTGCTATATATTTGAGGTAGACAGCTACAAGCACATTATCCATGCCCAAATCCACCAATACAAGAAATTATTTTCTATGATACTGGGGTCCCTATTCCTTTTCAAGTTGGAAAATGTTTGTGAGAAATGAAGAAGACAGAAAAGTATGGGGTATTGTGAAGCATATACCAGCAAATTTTCTTTTATCTTTTTTATAAAAATTTTGGTTTGATTTTATTTGTCTACAGAAATATTTATAAAAGAGATAGAAATGAAACATTGCTGAACATCACACACCTGTATGCAGTTATCCTTTGTGATCATCATTTAACTGCCTTTCATATTACCACATGACATTTTCTTGTTCACAAATCTTCTAGATTTTTTTTTCCTTTTAGTATCATTGCCACCTAGTCCATCCAATGCCGCTTCTATTTTTCCTTCACTTCAGTCTTTTCCTGCAACAGTAACAGGCTGTGTGACCAGAATAAGAAGCAAGCAAAGAGCTTCCTCATATGTTGTCATTTATTCACCCTTACTGCTGTAAGTATTTCCCTTCTCCAAGAAACCCTGAAATATCTGCAGTATCTGATGTATCCCTTTTGCTTAACACAAGCTGCCATCACCCATTAGCAGCATGCCCACCTCTAAAATCTTATCTGTTGCCATGTTTTCGCATCACACATGCACTCACACTGCTGCATCCTTATGTACAGCAATCTAACTTCAATAGTGTCTTTCTTCCCAAATTTTTGTCTTCTCTTTGGTAAACCCTTCTCCCTCCTGCTGTCCACCTCTGAATTATACACTTTTTATCAGTCATTTACTTCCCATTTTCTTGGTGTATCAATATCATATTAGCAAAAACTAATCAGCTGTCTAACCAGCACTTCTTTCACTGTCATATATTCTTATTTTATACATCTTATTCCTGGCTTTTTATTTACTCTGCAAATTGCTCTCCAGCATGTAATTTTTGTAATTTCTGATTTGTTTCTTGCTTTTATATATACAGAAAACTGCCACACTGGATTCGGTCGTATATTCCCCGCTTTATTTACCTGACAGAGAAGGCCTGGAATTACTATCCATATACAGAAACAGGCAAGTACTGCTACTGAATCTCACTTAAGACTTTTTTATATATTTTCTTATCAGTGGAAAATTCCTTTGCAATATTGCTGTTTGGATTGATAATTAAAAATGTCAGCATTCTGTTGGGACATTGTGGTAACTTAATAAGATCCGTTTTAAATGTAATTACTGTAGTACTGTACTGTAATTACATATACAGTACAGTATTCAGAAAGTTTAAAAACTAAAGTAAATATTAGCACCTTTCTGCCTTTAGTGGAAGGAAGAGTGTATCAATTTATTTGATGTCCTTTCTGTTGTTAGAAAGTAATACAAATTTGGAGTTGTTTTTTGTTATCTAGTGCAGTATTAAGGTGTACTTATTAACATATACTGTACAGTGTATACTGTACAGTGTTCGTTTCCTAACTTGTTTCATACCGTTACTAATTTCATACTTTTATTTTTCATGTGGCGTAATGTGGCATTATAGAATATACAGTGAGTAAATATGATATATTGTTTTGTTACATATAGAATTAAATAGAATTTATGATATTTGGTAGTACATGTACAGTCAGTCAAAAAACTATCATTAAAACAACTGTGTTAGACAATATGACACAACGGACGGAGGATTTTGGCAACCCTGCCGAGTAAACAGGAGTCGCAGTGTTCATTCTGAAATTCATCAACTGGCCAAATACAGATAGTTTTTTGATCAATGGTACATTCAAATTTGTTGTGCCAAATGGTGAATCAACAGTAAAGAACTCTCCTTATTAAAGTTCAGTGTACTGTATATTTGTTTTGCATATAACCACTTTGATGTGTCCAAGTTAGCATTAGTTATGATTTAGAGTAAGAGAAAGTTGGAAAGTAAATCTAGTACAGTAAGAATTGAAAGAATGCATCTCACATCCTTACCATTGTCTCTTCTTTCTGTGTTTCACTATGTATGTACCATTTTATTGCTGCTGACTAATTTCTTTCCACAAAAAGACTATTGCCTTCTACCCTTAGTGATATTTCTCTGCAACTTGATTGTGTCCTTGATGTATTCCTTTCCTTTTACTGCCTTTGATGTACTGTACTGTACTGTACTTGTGCATTTTCTCTCCTTCGTCAGCATTTCTCACTGTACTGTAATTCCTGTTGTCCTGCTTTTTTGTGGGAAGGTGGTGGGCTGTATACTTATCTTATTTTCATTTTAAGTTTTAGAAACATTTAATAATGGTTTAACACTGTCAGTATTCCTCCTATTACTGCTCTTTAGGTAGTAAAACCGTGAAGTGTGTTGCAAGACTTATCTCTTATTCTGCTTACCCTCCCCACTTTTTATTACTGCTTGTAGAATACATGTATATATTTACACCGTTCCAAAAGCTTGGGAAAAACAAAATGTACTGTAGTTACTTTAAATATTTCTGCACAATTAAGACTTGTGAATATTGTACAGTATAGTATTATGTATCCAAATAGAATAATTATTCACCTGAAGTGGACTCTTACTACAGGTAAAACGTCTATTATTGAAGGGAAATTAGTTTTATTTCTTTCAATCAATGTTTATATTGGGCAAACTTTAGACAGATTTTTTTTTTTTTTATTGAGACTTTGCTAGCTCTAGAAGAAGCAACCACTGGGTTAGGTTTTGAAAGCAATAATTAAACCATGATTTCACTCGGCAAACAGCTACTTTGCAGTACAATACACTATCTGATTGGGTAATTGTATCCATCTACAGTATTGAACATTTCAGGAGCTTTTGTCTCTTTCAGATGTATATATGCAAAAGTGAAACCCCCTCTGACATGTACAGCTATTATAAAGTAGCTGCTTTTTTCTCCAACTTTGATAATCTTTTTGATATACAGTAGAGTCTGCATTTACGTGGTCAATTGAACCCGTGGAGGCCCGTGTAAAACGAGAAACGCGTAAATGAAATAAGAGAACATATGGGATTAATTGAAATAGACACTGGGCCGACCCCCAAACTCCACTTTCTCCGACACAATATGTACCTTGTAGTCAAAATAACATCTTAATTTTATGATGGTATTCACACACAATTAATAATTAAGAGAAATATCAATAATATTAGGTTTTTTAACACTTACGTTAGTAGAAAAGATGGCTGAGCACACGGGGATGGGGGGTTGGTTCCGAGGCAGAGGGCAGATTATTGGCTCTCACCTGTATGACCTGTATCACTATCCACCACAGAGGCTTGCAGGGCCTCTTTGTCAAACCCCTCAAAGTCCATATCCTCACTATCACTGACTTGGGCCGGCTGTGGTGGGTGGCGGGTAAAGAACTCAGTAATGTTTTGATGACTGGGCGACCTTGTGCGCACCCTGCCTACGCCGCTTCCCGTGTAAATGACCAAATTTACCGCGTAATTAAAGCATTTCGATTCTGGCAAGGCACCGCGTAAATGACCAAACGCGTTAACCAAAGCCGCTTAAATCCAGACTCTACTGTACTGTACTTTAATTTCCAAGAATACGCAGGTGTGTCTTGAACTAAAATATAGAATAGAGTAGTTAAACCATTTATGATTTTAATGCATTCATTGTTGTTGTTGCAGTGTTCTGTTATTCCACGGTTTGCCATCAAAATACGCACACGTTATGAGAATAACAATGGATCATCAGAAAATGTAAGTTTCCTTTGTATGTTTGAATTGTAATTTAGTGTACAGTACTGTACTCATTTAATCAGAGGCTGAAGATCAGAGTGCTAAATTCAAAGACATTTAGTGTAAAGGTCTTTTAAGGAAGTTGATGATTTGTTAATTTGGGTAACAGATGTGTTCAGTGCTTATAACTTTTCATGGTCATGGTTGAGTCAGTACATGTGCTAAGAGGAATAGAGCAAACAAAGTGCGGTCAAGTAGTTGGACATGGCATCTTCATGGATGGATGGGTGATTGAGCAACATAGGATAGGTGGATACTGAGGTTGGTTAGATAGATAGTGAGGTAAAATAAATGGATAGTGCATTAGGAAGTACTAAGGGTATAGTTTAAAGTTTTATCTTTAATTCTTTATATAGTACTGTATAGTGAATTAAAATATCTGTAAATTAGAATAAAACATCCTAGTATTGAGATGATTTAGTATAAATAGATTGAAAGATCCTCCTTCATATTTACTGCCCTCTGCCTAATCATTACTACTTTGTATGCAACTCTTAAGTCCTCATTCATTATTTCATGTAGTTAATTATTAAAATAAAAATTCTCACGTTTTTTATCACTCTCTCTCCAAGTACGAGAGTTAAAGGGAAGAAGATTGTTCATATGATTGTTGTTGACCATGAATGTTTCAGTGTCTTGATATAAATGAGGAGGAGTTGAAGCAACGGACAGTTGAGCATGTGGACATCCTCGCCGATCCAGTTGATGAGAAGCACTATAAAAAAGAAGAGGTTTGTCATTCTTTTATTAACCCTGTGAAAAAATGTGAGGTAATATTTTTCCTGAGAATATTTTGCACTTTCACTAATACAGTATATATCGACTAATTATCAAAACTTTTATTTGTAATCATTTGTCCAGTGTCATAGTCGCTGCTTTGTATTTTTATTTGTAATTATTTATTGTTTTATTTTTTTTATAATATTGTTTTTTTATTGATAAATTTGAGCGAGTTTCAATGTTCCCAAGTTAATGACAAGCTAATTAAGGAACTTACTTTTATACTGTGGTGGGCACTCAAGTAATTGCATTGTGTTTCAGATTGCTTAGCTCAGTGAGGCCTTTTGGGTTCACACGTTTCATTTACATGCCTCACTTTTGTGTTACTTGTGCATCTACCCTTGCTAGACCCACCCTGGACCCCTTTATGATAGATTTAATATTGTATTGAGATAACCACTGTGTTAAAACTTTCACTGTCATGAAAGTTTCAGTGAAAGAGAAATTGTAAAATTAGAATGACCATTAGGAAGTTTGGGGGGGGTGGGGGGGGGGCACATAGATTAATGTCTGGACCCTTAATTCTTTCCCCTCCTGCTTAAAGGGGTCCTCAAACAACAGTTATCTCATGAGTGACTTGTGGAAATCACGTTAGTCACAAACTGGACCTTCATATCTCCACAGTTTTACATTCCAACGGAATCATGGATTTTGTAGTCAGAATGGAACACAGTTTTTTCTATGGCTTTAAGGTCAATAGAAATCTTGATTGGTTATAACATGGCAACTGTTGGTACACAATACAGGAATATTGTAGGAATCACTGTACTATATTTAAACCAGTAACTTAGTTGTAGACTTGTTTTGATAAAAAATTTCTATGCTTCACTTGTGGTTCATCCACACTACCAACTTTGTGATTTACAGGATCCTTCTGTCTTTAAATCTAAGAAGACTGGCCGTGGCCCTTTAACGGAAGGTTGGCGTGATTATTCAGATATCATCATGTGTTCTTACAAGCTTGTTGATGTTTCCTTCCAAGTATTTGGCCTGCAGACCAGGATTGAAGACTTTGCACAGCGAGTAAGTGGTAGATAAAACTTAAGAGTCTGCTGTTTTTCTACCTAATCTAACTCACATTAACATGAAAACGTAAATACAAATACCTGTATTATTATTATTGGAATTTCTTTTACAGTACATGTACAGTACTTTGAAATTTGTCTGTTGATCAATGTGAAGCAGTGATGCAGTACTGATAACATCTGTTGTGTACAAAATTGCTTCTAAGAATAAAGTAAAAAGATGACACATTTATTTCTCTTCAATCCAGCTGCCTTGTCTTCCATATTGTTTTACTTGGGGAATTGAATATTTAGTCACTTCTAATCAATTGCCAAAAAATTAAGATTTTTCATCTCATTTAAAGCTCAGTATCTAACATGATTAATTATATATCATTCATATATTTTTACCTTTAGTATCAAACAACCATAGTTGTTTTGACTTTTATTGTGTATGAACCATATTGATAATAACAAAAACAAAAATTATACCAACTGACCCCAAGTCCTTCACATAACTCAATTTCTGTTTTGAACATAACAGCATATATATATCCTATTGTATTTATTGCAGGCTATTCGAAATATCTTACTTATTGGCCACCGACAGGCTTTTGCCTGGATAGATGAATGGTATGGCATGACTATAGAAGATGTACGAGATTATGAGTGTGGAATGCAAAAGGAAACTAATGAAAAGATTCGTTCAGCTCAGCAGGTTGGTGACAATTTAATCATAATCTTTATACTGTTTTTCAAAAGTGCTTTTTTGTTTTCTCACCAATGACAGAGGGCATTGGGTATTTAATTTTTCTGTTTATTCTTTTAACTAAATATTTTTTACCTGAACATTTTTCGGGTAAAATAAGTGTTACAGTACATTGTAGCATTGCTTCTTTGTTATGGCAGTTTCTATTATGCAGCTGGATAGTTATATTTATTACAGAAGTATCTTCCTAATTCAGACTACAGGCAGACCTTCATTTACAAAAGGGTGTTTTTTCAAAAATTGGTGTACATTTTTTTATTGACTCAATATGAAATTTGAATTACATTATCTAAGAAAAAATCCTACACTCAACCCCTGATGAGCTATTTCATCATTCTTTGTTTACTTGGCACGAACGTTGCGGTCACAGACATGAACTATGACCAATGCTTGAAGGAATCTTGGCTCCTACTGGGTGTACTCTGTATTTTTTGTTTGACATTGAATTTATTTTGCTTTCACAATGCCCTCAAACAACCACAGAAGTGATGGAATAGGGTTTAACAGTGCTAAAAAGAAAAATTAAGTGGCAAGTGTAAAAAATGGAAGTGTGAAAATTCTATGGAGACTGGACCAAGGATAGTCTATGAAGAAAGTGCCTGGATAAAGTACTATATGAATGGTTCAAGCAATGAAATGTCAGAAAAAAGGTGGATAATGTTACATACTCCAACCTGCACTCCTTTCTGGTAGCTGTAATACAAAATTTAATTACAGTACAGTAAAGTAATAATACCATTTACATCACAAAGCAGTCATCCCCTGATATGCGGAAGGGTTAGGTTCCATAAAATCATGCCTCAAATTGAAATTCTGTATATTGAACACATTTCCCCCATTATATAAGTGGAGATAGGTTCCTACACAACAAAATCTTGACTGTGCAATGTAACAAATACTGTACATATAATAACTCAACAAACTTCATTAATACTGTCCTGTACATAAATACACATCATAATACTGTATAGCAATGAAACCAAACAAAAAGAGTGGTGTTGTGAGTAATAATACTGTAAAAATCCCCGTAACACACGTCTCCAGTCAGCTAGGAGATGGCTACACACGTTGCCTTGTGACATGTAATGAAACAAAGTTGTGCAAAAATAATTTCAGTACTTTTATGTGCCTTAGAAATAATGAAAAAATAATTTAAAACTATGCTGTATAAAATAAGTTAAATAAAGAGCATGGTTGTGTATGTATGGGAAATGAATGTATATGTGGAGGAAGTGAACTGTACAGTAACTACATTGTCAACCATTTCCATTACAGGCAGTCCCCGGGTTACATACGGGTTCCATTCCTACAGATGTTCTTAGTCGAAAATGTACTTAAGTCAAAACACATAACCTACAGAATGTACATACCGTACTTACAGAACAATGTTTAAAATCCCACTATCTCATAGCGTAAGTCCTTGTGTACAACAAAAATCACTTAATTTAAGAGAAAGAAGACATAGAATGACAAAACATATTAAATATAAGTAAAAAATGTCATCAGGTAATGGTAGTAGTACTAGACCAACTACTACTACCATTACCTGATGACATTTTTTACTTATATTTAATATGTTTTGTCATTCTATGTCTTCTTTCTCTTAAATTAAGTGATTTTAGTTGTACATAAGGACTTACGCTATGAGATAGTGGGGTTTTAAACATTGTTCTGTAAGTACTGGGAAGATATTGGAAGCATAATGTGTTGGTTAATGTGCCTGGGTGGGCTCGTTCGTATCGGCGGATGTTTGTAAGTCGGGCATACATAACCCGGGACCTCTTGTATTATATCGTAAATTTCCAAAAATCATAGGATGACTGTAAAAGAATACAGTACAGTATGTAAGAGCTCACTAGTTTGCTGACCATCAGTTAACAAAACTGCTTAGTTCGTGACTTCGTGTTGATTTTGCACATAATCCAACTTGTGCTTAGTTTCCAAAAATGCAATAGTTTGTGTTTTCCACTAAAATTAATAAGAAAACATCAAAATATAGTATTAGTAGAATTAATTAACCAACAAAGAAAAGAAAAAAAATGAAACTTCAATTGAGGGAATGAGAAATATTTGCTGAGCGTCATCATGGTATCCTTAAGAGTGGCATAGCACTCTTTTGTAGGTAGTGTTTCATCCATTTAACTTGTGTTAAAGTACTGTACCATCACCAAAAATCATTTTATAGGTAAAAATTTACAGTAAATTTTTGTAATAATCAGGGATAATGCTCCTGTTTACATGATATAAAATACAAGTACAGCTAGACCCCGACTTACGACGGGGTTGGGGACCCAAATCCAGGTCGTAAGTCCGAATGGTCATAAGTCCGACATAGATAAAAAAAAAATTAAATAAAAAATCTACAATGAAATACAGTACAGTACAGTAAAAGTAATAAATAATGAGGAATGGATACAGTACAGTGAAAGTAATAAATAATTAGAAATGGATACAGTGTGACTGAGCACTTACCTTTAATGTAGTCAGCTGAATGCACAGGGGGGCCCCCATAATTTTTTAATTATACATGGAGACTACATTGACTGGAAACGTTTCGGTATAGAAAATGCTTGTGTCATTTGGGGGAAAATGGTCACAACTGCGGCGGTCGTAAGTCGGGGTCTAGCTGTAGTCTTGTATTGTCTATTGTAAAATTCTCAAATATTGTACAATGAAAAATTCTTTGTGCACTTCATTATCAGGTTGAAATGATGATGGTAGATTTCGTTAGAAGTTAACATTAAAAGATATATAGTGTCTGTGACTTGACATAGTCCGAAGGTACGTTGCACCTATTGGTCTGCAAATTTCACATGGTTGCCATTTCACCAGTTCTGAATTTGAACAAAGTAGAGAGGCTCTTCTCACATGGTCATACCAGTGATGGAGGTGTTGGTATTAGTTTTATGATGTTTACTCTGCACACACAGTCCATTATAATAGTTTATTCTAATTTCGTGTACAGTATAGTCTTCATTTACGCGGTCAATTGAACCCGTGGAGGTCCGCGTAAAACGAGAAACGCGTAAACGAAATAACAGAACATATGGGATTAATTGAAATAGAGACTGGGCCGACCCCCAAACTACACTTTTTCCGACACAATAGTACGTTGTAGTAAAAATAACATCTTAATTTTATGATGGGATGCACACACAATTAATATTTAAGAGAAATACAGTCGCCGGTTAATGTCCATTCAAATAATGGACTCAACTCCCCCCCCCCCACTTCCCATGCTTGCTGGCTCTTCCCTCCCTGAGAAATGTTTGGGTGAAAACACTAGGTTTTTAGGTTTAGTAATAAATAATACCTCAGACTTTGTTTAGGATAGTATAATTGACATTGCTGGATTCCTTGCAAGACTGCGAATAATTTGAATATAAACGTCATATATTTTGCACAAAAGATAAAATTTTTGCTCTCTCTAATAAAATTCTTAAATTAGATCTAAAATTTGTATGTCTAATGCAAATTTTAACTTGTTTATATTCAAATTAATCACTATCTTATAATTCTGAGGCAGAGGGAAGATTATTGGCCCTCACCTGTATCACTATCCACCACAGAGGCTTGCAGGGCCTCTTTGTCAAACCCCTCAAAGTCCTTATCCTCACTATCACTGACTTGGGCTGGCTGTGGTGGATGGCGGGTGAAGAATTCGGTAATGTTTTGTTGATTGGGCAACCTTGTGCACACCCTGCCCGCGCCGCTTCCCCGCTTCCCACGTAAATGATGGAATGAACAGCGTAAATAAAAATTGTCGGTCTGGCAAGGTACTGCGTAAATGACCAAACGCGTAAACCAAATCCGCGTAAATCGAGATTGTACTGTATATTTACTCTACTTCAAAATAGAATGCCCAACAATACACTTCACTATTCAGTATTTCACTTATCCTGGAGTAATGGAGAAAGCATTGCTGGTATCTTTGGGGGGCTGAAGGGGAAAGTGGTAGTTGATATTTCTCCACAGTTCTTACCCAAGAAATCTAACTCATTTTCATTTGAAGTGAATGATATGGGAAAAATAGACTGGAGTAGAGCTTCAACTAGTACCTAGAACACAGGCAGTCTTTGCAGGAATTCATAAATATTCCATGTAAGGTTGATTGTTGGAGTTTCTGTAGTTTGCTTTAACAGTTTTTTTATAAATGAGATGGAGGTGCACATTTGGCAAGCAGGCAGTAGCTACCTGGAAGTGGATGTGGGTATTCCCTAAGAAGGTTGGGATGGGGCTGCTGGTGAGCCCCAGTTGTCATCTGCCCTCTTGGACTGGGAGAGGTGTTTTTTATTTACATACATTCAAATTTTTAAATAATTCTACCTCTTTTTTTCAGACTTATCACTTCCCTGAGGTTGTCAGATATGTGAGGCATTGGTCTATTATAAAATATATTTAGTAAATTCTGTCACTAACTACAGCTTGTTAGGCTTTGATCAAGTCTGAGGAGTGGATGGCTTAGAAATTTAGTCAGAGTTTCCTCACTCTTACCAGTTGACATTCAGGGGTATAGGATGTCTTGAGTTAGCAAAATGTGAATTTACAAGTTTAAAATGTACAGTATGCCAAGTGTAGTACAGTATTGGATAAAGTAGTACATTAAGCTACATTTTATTCTTTCCTTGTTATATCAGTCTGCAGGCATAGTTGACACAGAAACAAACACCCAGAAGACAGATGATAATAAGGAAGACAATGAAGAGGAAGACCTTGACAGCTCCGAAAACAAAAAGACATTGAAGAAAAAAGATTCCACTTCCTCCCTTGGTACTAACTCCAGCTCTTCCATCTCACCAGACAAGACAGGCTACCTCTCTTCCTGGTTTAAGTGGTCTTCTTGATTTTTTAAATACTGTACATGCAGATTTATGATTGTTTTGAATAAACTGTATTTGTTATTTTTTTTATAATGAAAAATGAATACCCAATGCATTTTTTTTCAGTAATCTGCTTTAATCGTGGATAACTGTTTTGGCACAACTTTCTTTTCGAGAACTTGACATTCAATCAAAAATTTTGACTGAACCAAGAATAACTATTACTTCATTGACATCTTGGTGTTTACCAGAGTTCCTCAAGTGTCCATTTCATTATTCTTGTTTTTGTTTGTGCTTTTTATTCCTGATTAAACTCAGTTGGTAAAAAATATATACAGTACTGTATACAGTTTAGTTCTTGGAATTAGTGTCAGAATTTAACTATCGTTAATTCTCTATACATTAGTATGGTTTGGAAGACCATGGAGATATCTTATGAATAAATTAAATATGGAGAAGAATTGTGTTGCAATTGTGTCCTTTTGCAATGATTTATGTAAAAAAAAGATACAGAAGAAAATAAAGGAATTTTTAAATTAAACATAATTACAGCCCATTTTTCTTGACAATTCAGGAACTTACATTATTAACAGTTATTCTGGTAGCTCAGGTTCCTCAGTTGTACTGTTGTAATGCATCTGTAAGATGATATATTTCTCCAGCAGCTGAATACTCAAAGTAACTAATGTTAGCTAGGCACAAAGAAACTTATGTAAATTACCGGTAATTGTAAATTTAAAGAAATAAGTAAGATGTTTATTCATATCTTCTGCATATTTCATGTATATAAAACTTCTCGTTGTCATTTCTTTCCCACCTCTGCTAGGGATGTCTTGTCAGGTTGTGTGTGTGCGTGTTTACATTTGTTCATCTGCTAGACTGTGGTTAGGTTTTTTGTTAGGTTTGCATAAATGTAACAGCTGTCTGACAGGGCCATTTTTATCCAATGGACACATTTCTAATTTTTCTGCTTATATTCACTGAGCTGTTTACTACATTTTAAAAGCAGATTCGGTCTGAACAGTATTGTGCCAGTTTTTATTTGGAACTGAATTAATATAGGTGTTTTATCAGTCATTGAGTTTATAATTTCTTTTAAGGCCTTTCAACCCAGGCTCTCAGCACAGATGAGATACTGTACTACCTAATGACATGTCACCAAAAAAGGCATGTTTGTGATTTGGCACTCAACTCTCCTAGATTTTGAGAATTGTATGTGATGTTGCTTAGAAAAGCCTATACTGTACTGAATTTCATTTTTTTCAATATACTTAAACATAAACTAGAATGTATTGAGTACACCGTATCTATATTAATAAGAAATGATTGTTATCACTTTCACTTGGGAGGACTCTGTGGAGATTTTTGTATTTCAACTACTGTACTTTGAGAAATTCAAGTGGTGAAAGAGGGCTGATATATTTTAATTATGGTCTTGGTTATTGTTATACTTTTAAGGGGTTATATCAAGAGTTCATAATTGGCATAATACTGTTTTTTGGATCTGTGGATGTGTTATGTGTGTGTGTGCATAGGAATGATGTTTATATGTGTGTATGGGTAATAAAATCAGTGTCGTGCTCGCTTAAACTTGCAAAAATTCAGGTGTGTTGACAAGATGGGTACAGTACATCCCTTGCACACTGAATCTTTGTGAGTGTTTAAAACTGTTATGACAATTTTTTTTTCGGCCCATTGACATGTTTTAATTTTTTTGGAACACACAGAATCATGCCAACTTTGAATCCCTGGTATGACCCCATAATCACATTTTATAGTGTTTTTATTTGGAAGATAACTATTATATACATTGCATTTCCTTGTTTCTTTTTATTTGACCATGCTTGTTTAAAGTCATGTAAACTATTCCATACATCAGTGTGCCTTATACTCACTGAGAGCATGAAAGGTTAAGTCTTGTCATGCTGTGAACTGCCATTCTCACATATCATATTGAAAGTGATATGAATGTGGAATTAAGGTGCATAATTGTTTGGAACAAAATTATTGCATCAGTAATGAAATATTAGTTGAAGTATACTGCAGGATTTTTAAATAACAACTAATTATTAGTTCACTGCCAGTGCCAGATTTATTACATATAGAATAGGAAATCTATATTATTTTCTGCAATAATTGTATTGTGACCAGGATTCCTCTCCCTTGAATAATTTAATTTGAAGAATTATCATAAGTTTACAAATTTGTGGTGTCTAAATGGGGCACAAGTAATATTATATATAGGAAATAAGCAGTACTGTATTCATTTGTAGAAGTGTTAATGGTGTGTATTCTAGGCTTTAATATTTGTTAGGAAGGAGAGCACTGTTTCTTTCTCTCTCTATTTATTTATGTATGTCAGAAAGTAGTGGACTGTTATCTGCATATGTAAATAATTCTGTAATGCCTGTACTTGAAAGATGTGTATCTGTTCGCTGTTTACAACAATTGGTGTATTGTATATAGCAGTACTGAAATGCTGGTGATTTTTAGTTTTACTGTATATGCATTCATATATATAATATTTATATTTTCTCTTCATTAATCCTTTAGGATAAGCTAATGAAAATTTGCACAAAATTTCTTATGGACTTGATCTTTGGTGTGTTATCTCTATATACATTTATGTATAAATGTGGTTACCTTTTTATGTATCTTGTCTTACTTATCGCTTCAACTCTTTACAAATGTCTATGAAAATTGATGAGATGTGTGAAAGAAAAGTTACTGGTGGGGGATATTTTCTGCATGATCATCTAAGCCAAAATGTTTGATACATTCTTAAGAATAGTTGTACAGTAAATTGTTATAGATGATATAATCTGAGTCATAATCAAGAGAGATTAAATATCTTTTAATGTTTATAAAATTTTACATGTTGACTCAATTGAAGATATTTTCTTTTGGGTAATTTTTATTAGGTATCGTAATAAAAATTAGCAAGCATTGTTGTGGGGTGCCCCTCGAGGTGAAATTTTTTTATCTTTTATTATTATTATTTGTTAATTAAACTACTACTGATACTTTGAGGGTAAAATTCATCACTCCACCTTCATGAACCTTGCACAACCTACTGATTATACTTGAGTGTTACATTATATTGTAAGGACAGTCCTGCTTGTACAAAATTTTATAAATGATCATGTGAATAGACTTAAACTTTCTTGTAAATAATCCTCAATTTGTCTCTTGAAAGTATATAATGCACATGAAAGCTTATGATTATGATGGACACTGTTATATGGACACTCAACATGGTTCAGATGTACCCGATAATAGTACAGTACTGTAAGTAGTAAAAGAAACCTGGACAGTAGAGCTAAAATTCTTATTGGTATAAAATGTAGCTTTAACTCACTACCACATCAGTAAAAGGCAGGTATTATTCACTAATTCTTTGATAAAATGTTATACCAAATATAAATAACTTACAATTATCCCAAGTACATGTGTGAAACAATACAAACTAAGAAATACCCTTAACAGTTAACACAAATTTAATAAATGTAGAAGAGCTTTTAAAGGTTTTGTTGCACTTGTAAGGTGTACCTAAAATCCTAAGTTAGTCAGTTAATTCCATATGACCTCGGTTAACTGTCAATAAATAGCTATATTGAAGGGTGGATGAACCAAATACACTGTTTGCTTCTATTTTCATGTGGAGAGGGGACCATTAGCAAGCATTATTTTATAAAAATCTGACCAAGAAATAGAGTCCATAAAAATGTCTTTCAAACAAAAATGTATATTTATGTAAAATTGCTACCATTAGACACCAAGCAATAGTCAAATAGTGTAGGACTAGACAAAGTGAGATGATCTAACTTCTATTTACATTGGGGTAAAAAATGTATTCACGAAATGAGTTTTGGGTGAAATTTGCCCCCTTTTTTACATATCAAGTCAAAGTAATGTAAGTATATCAAGTTTTCTCAGTTGCTGAATCTTACTGTTTGACTTAACATTTTTGTTGTGAGTAATTGATATCAACCAAAACATAGTACTGTGCTGTAGTTTGTTTTATAAAGGGGTGGCGTGGTAGATGTTAAAATGTTATATTTTTGTATATATCGTGTAGGTATAATTAAATTTTAGTTAGAATAACAATGAAATTATAAACTTAAAATTTTTACTGAAATGGATGTATCATTGAAGGCTAAATGTATGTGGCTATACAGGTATTGTGTATTTAATTTTTGTCACAAATAAAGGATTTATTTCACTAAGAATTGAAGTACTATTAACCACAGACAGTTAGCTATTGTGTTATGTTAGCAGAATTATTTTAATTGTTATTAGATTTAAAAATACTCCCCTTTACCTTTCTGAAGTAAGGCTTCTTGAAAGACAACTTACAGTGGCTCTAAGGCCTTCAGAAAGTAAAAATGCTCAAGTGAAGATGCACAAATTCAGAGAACACTAAATAACCAAGGTCTAAGGCGAAACAACGAACAAAGATCTGTGCCTAGACAGTCTGGCGCTGAATCAACAAAATTGCTAGCCTTCATCATGTCAGTACATACAACATAAATTAGTACCTTAAGTTATTTTGCTGCATTAATATTGCTTTGTTTATTTTCATGGAGTCATTGAAGTACAGTACCTAAAGTATTGTAAAACCCATTAATATAGCTATGTCAGTAAGTTGATCCCTGTATAATAGCATCTGCTAGCTAGGCAGTCCCATGTCCAATGTGTGTGTGTTCCTTCTTGTGTTTATCATTCTTGTTGGCCATGGTTATATGTCAGCACTCCTGTTATCTAATGGTTAATTTTTTTATTTGAATAATTTGACTGCAACATTAGTTTATGGGCCTCCTTTAAACCTGGGCCCTGTAAGGATCAACATCAATCTTAGGACACTCATTTACTCATCAAGTCTGTGAATTACAACCCATGCTTACTCCCAATATTGCTGGCTGGATTTAGTCAAACAATCAATATAGTTTTCTTGGCACCACCCTAGTCCTCAGAGAGAAGTCTGGAGAAGAAATGCCTCACCCAAAGTCATTACCAGATTAACCCTCTTTCTTGCTGCCACTGCAGGTGCATCTCTTAGTGATGCTGCATTAATTACTGTGACTCCAACACTGCTACACTGAGTGAACTACAACTCCAGCATTCCCATCAATGTCCTATACTCTGGCACTGCTTGTCTCAGTGTTTGTATTTGCCACTAGAAATGTTATTGATAGTTTTTTCTTGATTCAGATTGCTGCTGTTTCAGTTAAAGGTACTTTGTCGTAGAATTCTTCGATATACAGTACGGTATTATCAAAATAGACTTCTCAATAGGTATTGTTTGTTTACAGGCTAGTGAGCAATTTGTCTTGTTTATCTGAGAGGAGGATAGCTTAGAGCAGGGGTACTCAATTGGTAGACTGCAGTCAGGATCCAGCATATCTCTCTCTCTCTTTTAATGTGCATCTGGAAATAGTAATATTTTTAATTATCTTTTGTTTTCAATTATATAATTTAAATAATATTCAACACATTTTTTACTGCAGTTAAGCATGAAAGCTTGCAGTTCATAATAGTGTTTTCTATGGTTCATTTTATGACAAAATGTATTGCCATGGTCCAAATCATTTTGACAAAGCAGACAACTCTGGTCTATGGAAAGGCAGCTAGTTTTTCTAGCTGTTTTGAGAGCCTACATTACTCAAACTATTGTGGGGTGCCTCGTTGGTAATGTGGATACAGTGCTAGCCTCCAGTTGCGGGTATTGGTAATTCGATACTTGACCACTCCCAGTTCATCCAGCTGTAAATGGGTTCCTAAGTTTGCAACCTGGGGAAGTGAAAGTGGTCGAGTGCAGTACCGGCCATGCCGCCTCCTTTTGTACTGAAGGCTTTGTATACCGTACAGTGTGCTGTATCCATACTGTCCCTAACGGGCAGTCATGCCTATGGGACCTACTTTCACTTTTTTCTGTTGGTGGGGGATGGAAGAGTTATTGTAGGGTGCTTTGCTGGTGAGGGACGGAAGAGGTATTGTGGGGTACCTTGTTGGTAGAGGATGGAAGGGGTATTGTAAGGTGCATCGTTGGGGGATGGAAGAGTCATTGTAGGGTGCCTCATTGATGGAGGATGGAAAGGGTATTCTGGGATACCTCGTTGGTGAAGGATAGAAGAGGTATTGTGGGGTACCTTATTGGTAGAGGATGGAAGGGATATTGTAGGGTGCCTCATTGGTGGAGGATGGAAGGGGTTTTGTAGGGTGCCTTGTTGGTGGGTGAAGGAAGAGGTATTGAGGAGGTGGTGGTGGTAGCAGTGGAGGTGGTAGTGATTGTGATGGGGGTGGTTGTACCAGTATTGGTGGTAGCAGAAGCTGGTTTTGATGATTTTCATTTTGGAATACAGCTGCTGTTGCTGTTCACACAGAACCCCTATACTGCCAGATTCTGGGGTCACTAATTCTAAGGGGATAACTTAACTATAGTCTTAATTTTAAGGGTTGCTGCCACCAGACCCCCTCTGGGCAGTATGTAACTCGTTAGGTAGCGGGCAGAGTAAGCTAGGCATTGGGTTGGGTTTTTCATTGAACAAATCGATAAGGGGAAGAAGAGTGAAACAATAACATGTCTTAACTAATTTATTCCTTTTAAAACATAATGCCTCCCGTCAGAATACCAGAAGAGTTGGCCTTCCTCAGAAGAACAACTATGATTTTAGTTACACTGCTCAACAACAGACGTCTTACATTAATTGCGTGTCATTAACATACTCATTCCTCATAACAAACATTGACCTCCTTACCTCGGTCATTCCTTCTAACTTATAACACCAAACACCTCAGACTGCACCACCTGTTAGAGTATAACATCACCTGTTACATTACAAAAAGAGTTGGCCTTCATCAGAAGAACAACTATTATTTTCATTACATTTCTCTTGATGAGCAGATGTCATACTTCCCAGGTAATCATACCAGTACTGGTTCCACGCCTGGTATTATAGGTCGCTCCACCAGGGCTGTGGAGTCGAAGACGAAACCTTCGACTCCGACTCCGACTCCGACTCCTCAAATTTTTATGCTTCCGACTCCGACTCCGACTCCGACTCCTTGGCCTATTTGTAACAACTATTTCTACCATCCTAATTGTAATTTGTATGTTGTAACCTGCATAGGTAAAAAGTAAAACACCGTGGCTATACTGCTTTATTAATGATCTGGACGATATTTAAGAACTACAAAAAGATGATAGGCTTGACTTTCAGTTTCAATCAAAAGAAAAATAAATTTATTAAGAATTCAAGATATTAACTAGAAAACACCATTTACATGTATATCTAAAAGTTCGATCTCAGCATATGAATTTTGTTTAAGCTCATAATCTGATGTGGATCTAAATGATGATCCTACAATTCCTTTTAAAGTAAGGTTATATATTTATGTACATTAAAGAAATGAATACCTTATTAAGGAAAATGGATAAACCTTACATGATTAAGTTATTAAATTAAATTTGCCTTAATCTCACCAAAAACAGGTTGTAGCTAATTGTTTTGTAGCTGAGAGCCTCTGTGCAGTTTTCAACGAAACAAAATTTGATATAATTCAAAATTTCAAATGGTAAAGAAGAGACTGTAGTGGACGTCTCCCCTACAACTGCGTATCGCATTCCAATGTGCCGCCTCCCCTAGCAACCAAGCGAGAGCTGTCCCCAGATGTTACCGTATCTTAGCAACGGAACTAGTCACCGGCTACTTCTCGGGTTTTCCCACATGACTCATGATACGATACGAAGTCTTTAGTTAAGAGGTGAAAGAAGATTATTAGGAGTTGAAGGAAAAGTGGTGAAACTGAAATACAGTAGGAGTAGAAAGAATCTGGGCTCAACCAGATCGCTTCATCTTTCTTATTGGTGTTTTGTCTTTGTTCTACTCCCTTGGGTCGTCAGACCTTTGTATTAATATTGGTTTATTTATATAATGCTGCTTATTATTATTATTTGTTATTGTTGGAGTTAGTGAGCCCGCCCAGGTCCTTGTGTAACTGGGAGGGTAGTCACATTTTTATTTTTTATTTTTTTTTGAGGTGTTAGTTAAGTGTTAGTTGTGTTAGTCTAAAGGTACACTGTATGGAGAGGCCTGCCAGGTTCTTAGTGGAGCTGGTTGGTCACTCTCATCTTTATTCCTCTAGTAATGTTTTATGTAGAAATGTGTATGTTGAGGCAGGAGGTGGTTCAATTACTTCTTCCTGGCTGATATAGCTGGGAGGGTATATAAGCTCTGTCTCTCCATTGAGATTCATTCTGTGTTAAGTTCAGTCACTTTTTTCCAAATATTTACAGCTTTGTTGTGTATATCTACATTGATTGCTAGGAGGTTTGCTCTCTTGTGTAGCTGTTCATTATTGATGTGGTCTGTATATTTTATGTTATATATAAATCTGAGGGCTATATTTTGTACTGTTTGTAACCTTTTAATGCACGTTTTACTAAGGGTGTTCAATGGGATGGGTGGGTTGTCCATAATTGATTTGACAAGGGCAATATAAATCTTTCTTTTGTTATTAATGCTAAGGTTCTTAAAGCGTTTTATTTTTGATAATCTTATTCTTGCCTGTCGTTCTTTATCAACTGGATAAATAATATAGACAACGAAGAATTCCAAGAACACAGTTGGTTTAAATCAGCCAGGAAGAAAGTAATTGAACCATCTCCTGCCCCAATATACATATAAAACATTAATAGAGAGAATAAAAGATGAGAGTGACCTACCAGCTCCACAAGAACCTGGCAGGCCTCTCCATACAGTGTACCTTTAGACTAACATAACTAATATTTAACATTTAACATTTAACATTGAACTAACATCTTAGCAAAAAAAAAAAAATGTGACTACCCTCCCAGCTACACAAGGACCTGGGCGGGCTCACTAACTCAAAAAAAAAAATAAAATAAATAATAATAATAATAATAATAATGTGATTACCCTCCCAGCTACATCAGCCAGGAAGAAGTAATTGAACCACCTCCTGCCCCAATATACACATTTACACATAAAACATTAATAGAGGAATAAAGATGAGAGTGACCTACCAGCTCCACTAAGAACCTGGCAGGCCTCTCCATACAGTGTACCTTTAGACTAACACAACTAACACTTAACTAACACCTCAAAAAAAAAAAATGTGACTACCCTCCCAGTTACACAAGGACCTGGGCGGGCTCACTAACTCCAACAATAATAAAAATAATAATAATAAGCAGCATTATATAAATAAACCAATATTAATACAAAGGTCTGACGACCCAAGGGAGCAGAACAAAGACAAAACACCAATAAGAAAGATGAAGCGATCTGGTTGAGCCCAGATTCTTTCTACAGTACTCCTACTGTATTTCAGTTTCACCACTTTTCCTTCAACCCCTAATAATCTTCTTTCACCTCTTAACTAAAGACTTCGTATCGTATCGTATCGAGATTCATTCTGACCATTCTTCTTGAACTAGCAACACCTCCTCCTCTGCCGCTGCCTGGCGACCCTCGCCTCTCCTCCGCCTGCCTGGCGGTCCTCGCTCCCGCCGGGCGAGCATGGCGACCCACCAGCTGTCCTTCCCTGAACTTCCTCACCAACCAACTCTCATTCTGCCCATTTTCCTGAACAAGCAACATCTCCTCCAGCAAGCTCCACGCTGTTAACATTTCATTCAATCAGGAGGCCAGCAACAGGCAACATCTTCTCTAACGAAGCTCCTGCACATCTACCTCCTTCAACAAGCGACTCACCGAACGTCTTCTACCGTGCAGCCCCTCACCACACGGCACCTCCAGCACCAGACTGTCTATCATATAACTTATATATTATACAAGAAAACCACATTAGAGTTTCCTTCCATCCTGAGTGCTAGACAACATTAACACTCGATACCCCTACAAGACTATCGTCCAAAATTATAGTGCTATACTGTGCCTGCTACAATAAATTCATAATAATGCTTATAAAATGGAAATAAATTCTTTTAATAATTTAAGAAAATTAGTGGGATCAGTGGAATCACTGCAATGAATATGCCTGAGTTCATATATTTGTTCTTAGGAACAGAATAGCTTCAGTCGGAGTCGGAGTCGGAGTCTGGACAATTTTACCGACTCCGACTCCACAAGCCGAAATTTCCTCCGACTCCTCGACTCCGACTCCGACTCCGACTCCATAGCCCTGCATATTGTAAGGATTAAGTTATACTCGATGGATTAAATCACTATACTCCCAGGGCTGTACTCTAGTGGTCAGCATCATACTGAAGGGTCATACTTGCATCAATACAAAATAAGTAAACATCAGAAGATATTTAAGTACAGTACTGTACATTATGCCTTTTATTTCAGGTATGGATTGAAGAGGCTGAACGAGGGTCCCTTATGCTGGTGGACGATTCTGCAGCCCAAGGAGATAAAGTGTGTGTGTGTGTGTGAGTGTGTGTGTGTGAACATAGTCTGAAACTTTTTCTATTGCAGGTTTGTGTGGCTGACTGTGGACCCACAACGAGAAGCTGCCTGGAGGTGAGCGAGGGGAAGGGGGTGTGGGTGGGAGGGAAGGAGGGTGGGTGGGTGGGTGGGAGGGTAGGGGGTGGGTGGAAGGGAAGGTGTGGGTGGGAGGGTTGGATGGGTAGATGGGAGGGTGTGGGTAGGTAGGTGGTAGGGTTGACTGGGTGAGAGAGTTGGGTGGGTAGGAGGGATGGTTAGGTGGGTGGGAGGATGGGTGTGTGGGTGGGACGGAAGGTGTCTGCATGGAAGTGAGTGTGTGTGTGTGGATGGGAGGTCCTACCATCCACACGCCCTTCCTCCCGTCCACACGCCCTTCCTTCCATCCACACGCCCTTCCTTCCATCCACACACACTTCCTCCTGTCCACTCACCCTTCCTCCCATCCACACACCCTTCCTCCCATCCACACACCCTTCCTCCCATCCACACACCCTTCCTCCCATCCACACACCCTCCTGTCCATTCACAAACCCTTCCTCTCATTCACACGCCCTGAGGGTCTTTTTAAATCTTTGATTGTGTGGCTGTCTGAGGTGAACGGCTGGCTGGCTCAGATGAATGGTTGAGGCGAACGTCTGGCAGGACAAAAACCCTACCCAACAGGTAAAGTACTTGTGACAGTATATAATGTCTATATGTAAGGAATTTGTGAACATTGTCTAAAACTTTTTGTATTCCAGGATTATTTGGCTGACTGTGGACCCACAACAAGGTGCTTCCTGGAGGTGGTAAAGGTAAAACTTATTTTTGTAATATTAACATCACCATAGTTAGAAGTAGATACACAGTAGTAACTCCGCCTTGTTCAACTGGACATGCCGGTCCCCAGCCCGGATAAAGGAGGAGGGCTACTGCAGTGTTGCATGATCTCCACTTCATAAACTCTTCATTTACAGACCAATTTATAATACAAGGTACAGTAACTTATATTTTATCAAGAAGACCATGTTTACTGTATATTTACCAAGACCAGCAATGTAGTATTTTAGCTTTTTATAGATGGATAGTATCGAAAAATAAGATATTTACATATACTTCCTCTTAATGGTATCTTTATGCTTTAAGACCATGTTTAATATTGCAAGATTAACCATGTAGTACACGGTATTAGGTTTTGTAGACAGGAACTCTTGAAAAATAAAAGTAATTGTATAGTTTAATTTCATTTTATTTATATTATACTACATAAGTTAGTTCGCAATAATAGTCCAGAAGTTTGATACAGAAAGATTACAAAAGAACTTGTCAAATTGCGTTATTGTTCCTTAGGTTATACCTGTGCTGCCAAGTAGGTACTTAAGTTTAGACATTCAGGTAGTCCATCATCAATTAAAACCTTTATTAGTGTAGGAGAAAATCAGAACTTGCAATGGTTGGGAACGTCACACTAGATAACATTTTTCTCATATCTAGAGAATCACATAACCACTATGCTAACATTTTTTTCTAGTGATGATGCCTCCATCACTGAATGTATCTGCCATTTTCACAATCTATTAAGCATTTCCTAATTCAACGTTTATAGTGGACTCTACTCAAGGTTAGTTTATTACACTAGACCTTAATGATTTTGTCTATCTTATGTCAAGTTTCGGTCATACACAAGGTTTAGTTTGATCTAATAATGGAAGTCTTGTACTTTGTGAATAATTTTGACCTGGTACAGTACAGACCAGTACAGGGGGGGTATTTCTAAATTTATCCTAGTGAATAAGTCTTCAGTATTCATCACTTTCACCACTTGTCAATTTATTAGCCTTTTGGGCAGGGGTGTGATATTTGCTATGTTTACACCGTTCAACACCCTTCACACATCTGTCCTAGGCTGGTGTTTGGCCCCCAGGACAGTTTTGCAAGATACACCCACTGTACTTTAGGTCAAATATCAAATTATTTCATTTAAAAACTTTGCAACTTTAAATATGACCATTGGATTTCAAAGTCTTTAGCTTTTTCTACAACTAAGTTAATTTACATTGTGTGTTGTACAGAATAGTAAATTTATAATTAGATTATTTAATTTTACAGGGATTTTTTTTCTAAATTTTAGGCAAAACTGACTTCCATTCAACAATTGGTGTGCAGTGCCCAGATTGTCAACATTCCGTAAGTAAAATCCCTACTTTACTTTCATGTACTATGTGCACATTACTTTCAAATAATACAGTATAGTATGTATACAGAATCAAAAACGTATCTTACGGACATGGCCGATGAATTAACGAATCCCCCGACACCTGTTCTCTGCGAGGTCAAAATCCTTAGTCCGAGGGGTCATTGTCTAACACCACCATAAAGATGCATTTTTGATGATGTACATCTTGTAATAACTACACTGAACCGAGATATTAGTTTGTAACAGTTCTACGTAGGCTGGCACTTGGATATCAATTAGTGATAAGTATACATAGGCTATCATGTTGGCATCACGGAGGGTCTATGTACTTTACACCTCACCTTCAGGTTTCGAGTTCAGTTTACAAGATCATTATTATTCTACTTTTCCCAAATCGGAATATAAAAGATGTCAAATTTATTCAGGGTTTATTTGATTATGAACAAACAGTATATTGTATAATGAGCCAACATTATATTCTCTTGATACAAGTGCCAACCATTACACAATATATCTACCTTTTTTTTAATCTGTGTGGCTTGACTCGAGGCTTACTTATACGTTCTTAAATATTACTTTACTGTACTTTTAAATATTTTCTTAATTGTACAAGTAAATTTGTGCTTAATAAGGTGGCTGTCATGAAGGTGTGAGCTGTGGGGTGGTTGACAGTAGAGAACAGTCGCTGAGGTCATCTGGCCATCTTGCTTTCACATCTGGTACAGTACATCGATCTTGTACACCAACCACCTGTAATAAGATTTTGAATTTAGATTAGTCTTAATTAACAGAGAGAGAGAGAGAGAGAGAGAGAGAGAGAGAGAGAGAGAGAGAGAGAGAGAGAGAAGTAACCTTGAACACTGATAAAACCCTTGGCAGCCTCAGTGGCCTCACTGTACTTGCATGATTCAGTAGTATCCAAGCTCATAGCTACGGTTGTGTACCAGTGAATAGCAGGTGAGTTGTGTTACTGTACCATATATTTATTTACCACTGAACCACAGTTGTAATGCTGTGTAAGATATAAGTAAAAATAAAACAATGAGCCGATCAGTGGCGAAGAGGATTAAAGAAAAAAATATATATGCTAAATGGTGGTGTAGGTAGGGGTTGCTGGCATTCGAGGATATTTTGTCCTCAACTAAGTGAAATCAATAACTCAATACAAAATTGTCATTGCCATTCCATTATTTATGGGCCGTCTGCAAGGTTTAAATGTTTATAAAATACTGTAAAGATAAATAATGAATTGGATTCACGAACTGATAACATATAACTGTACTGCAGTATATGATAGGCTATAACCCACTGTTCACTGGCTAGCTGTCATAGAATTATGTTATGGCCGTGTTGATGGTTTTGATTGGCGAGCGAGGATTCATTTTCGGTGACTTACCTTCTACTCAAACCAACTTTTGAATTGGGTGTCTTAGCAGAAAAACACTTACATATAAATCATCGCCTTTGTTCATCAACTTCAATGTTTTCGATCAAGGATCACTTTAAACTGTTCCTTTAACATTACTCTCGGAAATTAACACACACCACCGCATATTGAACGAAAGTAACCCCGGATTTCTCCCAGAATGATTTGCGGTTAAGCAAACGATGACTTATTATGCTTAGGCCCTATTGTAATATATATATATATATATATATATATATATATATATATATATATATATATATATATATATATATATATATATATATATATATATATATATATATATATATATATATATATATATATATATATATATATATATATATATGCTGATAACCACTGAAAGAAGAAAACACAAGTTCCCAAGCGCTTTCGTGTAATTCACATCTTCAGGGGTGAGTACAGACTAGTCTGTACTCACCCCTGAAGATGTGAATTACACGAAAGCGCGGGGAACTTGTGTGTGTTATCAGCATATATATTCTATATATATATATATATATATATATATATATATATATATATATATATATATATATATATATATATATAGAGAGAGAGAGAGAGAGAGAGAGAGAGAGAGAGAATCAGTATCTTTGCAGTTAATTGAAGTCATTCACGTATAGGATGAGGATGTGGGCTAGCCTGCTGGTGGTGGTGGCGGGGTTGACAATGGCGCAGCAGTACAAAGAGCAGCAGGAGGAGCAGAGGGAGGTGCCAGTCATCACGACACTGCTGGGTAGGATCTCCGGAGTCAAGGAAGAATCTAGAAATGGCAAGACCTTCCACGCCTACTATGGCATCCCCTTTGCCAAGCCTCCTGTGGGTGAATTGAGGTTCAAGGTCAGTTTGGTGTAAACTACAATGGATTTGTTTAAGTTAAAAATAACCATAAATAGTAACATTAAAGTTATCACATAAAGGTACATAAATATACAGAAATATACTGTATGCATAGAGGTATGGCTTTTGCTTGTAACAAGGCTAATAAAGTACTTGGGTTCATACAAAGGAGTGTTAGTTACAAGATTAGCGAGGTCATCCTAAAACTGTATCTTGCGCTTGTGAGACCACACCCGGATTACGCAGTTCAGTTCTGGTCACCGTATTACAGGATGGATATAGAATCATTGGAAAGAATTCAGAGGAGAATGACAAGACTAATCCCGGGCATTAGGAACCTTGAGTATAGAGACAGGTTAAAGCATCTTAATTTGCACTCCGTCGAGAGACGTTGAGCAAGGGGCGACCTGATAGAGGTGTATAAGTGGAAGTCAGGGCTAAACAAAGGGGACATTACAAAGGTACTCAAACTATCCAACCAGGATCGAACTCGTAACAATGGTTTTAAATGAGACAAATTTAGATTTAGGAGTGAAATAGGTAAACACTGGTTTGGAAACATAGTAGTGGATGAATGGAACAAGTTACCAAATATCATCATTAACTCGAATACGCTGAAGAGCTTCAAACTTAGGTTGGATGCTTATATGAGCAATAGGGGTTGGGTGTAAACGGGACTGCCCAGTATGGGCCAATAGGCCAGCTGCAGTTTCCTCCATTCTTATGTTCTTATTTGAAATATACATGTATACTGTACAGGACATAGTAATACCCGATTTATTCTGTATTAAGGTAATGCGGTTCGTTTTAATATACTGTAGGAGTAAGGAAAGCGTATGAACAATATTGTATTTTAATAAAAGAGTGTGTGTGTGTGTGTGTGTGTGTGTGTGTGTGTGTGTCAGTGCTGTAGTTCCAAGACCATGAAACCTAGAAGCCTGAAACTTTGCATGCACACTAAAGGGACTTTGCGGGTGTGCACTTCGGCATTACTTTTTTAAGTTTGGGTGAAAAAAGGTAAAAAAAGAAAAAGAAAAAGAGGGGGACAACGATTACCGGGAGCCATACCTAAAAGTGATAGTGTTGATGATAGTGTAGTTGTGTGATGCTGAACGTAAAGCAGGTCATGAAATGCCTGCAAGGATTTAGGTAGTAAGCTGTCAAGTAGTGAGGAGGGTAAGTAAGGAAGTAAACATGAGAGTTTAGTGAAGTTTTAACCAGAGTTGGACGAACGAATTAACATAAACAACACTATAGCTACACTTACAACAGCGACGATGACCACGCTGACTATACTATGAGGGAAAAGTGTATAAGATGACGAATCTATTTACAGTTTTTAACAGATGTGACTCTTGCAGGATCCCGTTGCCTCGGAAGGATGGCAGGGCGTGAGGGAGGGGAAGAGCCATGCCTCATCCTGCCCGCAGGTGGATATGCTGAAAAACATGATGGGTGGTGAACTCTCCCCTGTGGGGTCAGAAGACTGTCTTTACCTCGACGTGTTCACCCCACAGGTCAGTGACGACTCTCACAGATTCGCAAAATAATCCCCTTGTGGAAAAAGAGAACAATTACAGTTATAATAGAGCCTATGTATAGTTTCGACGCTATTCTTGTTATTAAAGTATTACCAAGTTGTTGTTTAAGTGAGACGCTCCCAAAGCTTCTATTTAAAGTTAGTATTAATGTACGAAGTCTTCAGAATCCACACACACACACACACACACACACACACACACATCTAGACTCAGATTATTTAAGGTTCGTAGGTTGGTATCCTACTAGTTGTCTGAGTGAACCAGTTAGATGTGTTCTCAGGGCAAGCCACAGTGAGTCTTACTGTTATCATGAGGGAAATTATCGTATCTTAAACGCTGGTAAGTGGTCGTCTTTGTTATTATTACCGTAATATTTTTAATTCGTATCAAGATACATATAATTATATATTAGCAGTAATGTTAGTATTATCACCTTCATTATTATTACCATGATAACAATTATTACTATTTTCATGATTATTATTATCGTTTTAATTATTCCAATCAATATAATTTCCAGTTATATCCTTACTCTGACCTTTTTATTAACCTTATTAACCTGGGTAAGTTTATGCAGATATAGTGTTCAATGACCTCATTTAGTTTCCTTTGTTAGTCACTGTGTAACAATTTACTGGTTGCATGCTTCTGTTTTAAGCGTAAGATCTTGACGAGTTGAAATACTCTTTCTCTTTCTTCATGGGTTATAACTGTCTTCATCATCTTTAATACAAACCCAAAACACGCTTAGTCATCCATAGGATCTTCCTCACCTCAGACTGTCAAGGTGGGCGAAGGTCTGCCAGTGTTGGTGTCCATCCACGGTGGCGGGTTCATAGCCGGGGACGGGAAGATGGGCTCCCCACACTACCTGATGAATAACGACGTGGTGGTCGTCAGCATACAGTACCGCATCGGGATATTCGGTGAGTACATGTACAAGAATGCTGGAAAATAAAATAAATGTAAATAGACACGAATGTAAGCAAAACGAATACAATTAAACAATCACTCAAAAACAAATACATATCAAGAACGGATGTTGTCATTTCTGAATCTCTTAATATATTTTGGCAAAGTCGAGTCGATTCTATTTCATAAATCATTCGATATTGGAGACATGTTGAAAATTAAATTTAATTAAAATATTCCGGCTTATAGTGAGGAATAATATATTTACGTGTGCACAGAGTGTATGAGAGAGAAAAGTCCCCCTGTCTCAGTCTTCGTGAATTAGACTCTCTCTCTCGTAGGTAGGTTAGGTTGGGTACACGTAAATAAATTATATTTCACTGTAAGGCAGAATATTTTTCTTATAGATAAGGACAGATTTAGTTAGGGTAGGATAGGGTAGGGTTAGTTAGGGTAGGATATGGTAGGGTAAATTAGGTTAACTTTGGATAGGGTAGAGTAACTTAGGTTAATGTAGGTTAGGGTAGGGCACGTTAAGGTAAGGTAAATTATCTTAAGCTAGGTTAGGTTGCGTTAAGGTTGGTAAGGTTAGGCTAAGCTAAGGTATGTTAATTTAAATTTGGCTAGGTTAGATTAAGCCAGCCTAGGTTAGCTTAAATTAGGCTCAATGAAATTAGGCCAAGCTATACTTAGATTACGTTAAGCTAGTTCTGGTAAGCATAGGTTAAACAAACTATCATGGGTGTGATACGACGTTTAGCATGTACACTCGGAAACCATAATCTCTAGCCCACAGGGGTTGGTGCTGGAGGTTAGAACAGTGTCCTTTCTGGACGGGGGCCCACTCTAACTATCACGAGGCAACACACGCACGAACACACAGTCATAGTACGGCTGTATAGATGACATTATGTATAAATATTGTATATGGCATTTTATACTCTGCATTATCTTCTTTATATATGAACACGAAGAAAAAATACCATAGGTTGTAGTTACGAAAGTATTAATGGAAATAAATACTTCCAAACCACCCAGTGACTCCACACAACGTTTACAGCGATTGTGTGTGTGTGTGTGTGTGTGTGTGTGTGTGCCAGACCACGATGTTTCCCATCATTCGCGTAACTATATGAAAAATTGTGTTTAATTTTACTACATATTTCAAAAACCTTAAATTATATGTGGATCAGTCATTTCTCATTTGACACACTTAGTGTAATACTTTGACCATCCCACCTGGGCACATGGAGGCCCACGGTAACTCTCACGGGGCAACATAAGTACGAACACACAAATTATGATATGAACCCTTCCAGGTTTCACTATCAGTATCATGTTATGTTCATCTTGATCTGTATCTTGGTAAGTAGTCATAGTATCAATACATGACAGTGTTATTAGTATAATATTGTAACTTTTACCATACAGTTATTGTTGTAAATTATGGACAGGATGGATACATAAATTGTAATATCAAGTGTAAGGTTCGCTCAAACCCACCCCAAGTCAGCCAACGCGTCACACAAAGTTACACTGTGTGTGTGTGTTTGTTCTGCAACATTAAGCTTCATCCTTAGTAGGTAAGATGTTTCATAAAGAGGTTTCTCCCATTCGTCATTGTGAGCATCGTCCCAGAGCACATTGTTTCCATCAAAACCATGGTTCATCCTTATTTCCCTTCTTCCGTGTAACTATATCCATATGGCTAAGTGCTTGCTTTTCATTTCTTTATTTACCAAGATAATGTGGATCAGTTACTCGTTATTTAACACATACAGTACATGCGCGTAGAGCATCAAGATTGTTTTTTAGGCATGACTATTGGTTAATTGAAACCCCAAAAATATTTTTCACATTTATTATGCATAAACATTGTAAACATATCTATGTGATTATTGTAATATATAACATATATTTAACGTCTGGACAGATTCCCAAGAGTTATGCATATTAATGCATAGATTTTGTAAGCATATTTATGCAAAGTGACGTAAAACCACCTAGTAAAATACCTGGACAAATTCGCGAGAGTTAAGAAACGAAGTCTATGTGGCCCCAACGAGGTTACACCAGAGAGCAAACTCCCCAGCCACCCCCTACAAGGCACCGTCGTGGGCGGAGATTTAATTCTTGACCACAGGTTAATACCGTGTCCAACCTCCATCTGCTGCTATAACTTCATGCAATCTGGTGGGCATGGAATCTACCAGATTGCTGCAGATGTTCGGCCTCCTCCTTATTCCCTCCCACACATTATGTGCGTGTCTCCTCACTGCCTCAGTGCCTCACTCGTTTTCTCCTCAACATCCCATTCAACAACCATATACGCCCATATCTATTGGATTACATTCGGCTCCTTTAGGGGGCCAGTCCAATAGAAGAATCTGCGGGTGCGCCTCAAACCAAAGCTTGACTGCCTGACTTGTATGTATTGGACTGCGGTCTTGCACCATACATATAGGCTGTGGGTCTGGAATGGCATATGAGTTGCTGGGAGGATGGTTAGCAGTCCTGTTGAACTAGCAGGTAGACAAAATAGAAAACTCACAGCCAAACTGTAAGAAAACCCATGGAAAATGAGACATTAGTAAAATATACTAGGTAATTTTAGTGCGTGCACACACATTATATGCAGACCTATTGGTCCTTGCGAGGCTGTTTGGTTATGCTATGCTAATTAGTTTGCTAGGGTGAAGGAAATTATGTATATATATATATATATATATATATATATATATATATATATATATATATATATATATATATATATATATATATATATATATATATATATATATATATATATTATAACATATATTTAAATCTTCTCAACAAATGCAAGGATGTTGCCCCGTGAGAGTTACCGTGGGCCTCCATGTGCCCAGGTGGGATGGTCAAAGTGTTACACAATAAGTGTGTCAAATGAGGAGTGACTGATCCACATGTAATTTAAGGATTTTGAAATATGTAGTTAAATTATACACGATTTTTCATATAGTTACGCGAATGATGGGAAATAAAGATATAGATGGGGTGTGGTGGAATCATCGTGGTCTGGCCACAAGCGCTGTAAACGTTGTTTGGATTCACTGGGTGGTTTGGAAGTGTTTATTTCCATCCATACTTTCGTAACTACAACCTATGGTAATTTTTCTTCGTGTTCATATATAATGAAGATAATGCAGAGTATATAATGCCATATACAATATTTATACATAATATCATCTATACAGCCGTACTATGACTGTGTGTGTTGGTGCGTGTGTTGCCTCGTGATAGTTAGAGTGGGCCCCCGTCCAGAAAGGACACTACTAATCTCCAGCACGACCGAGGTGGGCTAGAGAATATGGTTTCCGAGTGTACCAGTGAATTACAGTATTGTGTTCAGGAGGTTGTTCCCCGCAGGGTTCCTTTCGACGGAGGACGAGGTCATCCCTGGCAATTTCGGGCTCAAGGACCAGACGCTGGCACTCCGTTGGGTACACGACAACATCCATACATTCGGCGGTGACCCAAACAAGGTGGCCATCTTCGGTGTAAGTGCCGGGGGCGCTTCCGTCCACTACCAGGTCCTGACCCCTCACAGCAAAGGTGAGTGATATTGACCTCTGACCCATTCACTACCAGTTACTAAACCCTCACAGCCAAAGTGGGCGACTTAAACTACATGGAGTTAAACAATAACTACCATTGACTATACTACTGGACTAACAGCAGTATTCACATTGCTCTTTCTGCAGGACTGTTTTCTCGGGCTATCATGCAGTCGGGGGCAGCTCTGTGTCCATGGGCGAGGGGTGGCGCCCACAGGGAGGTGGCCCAATACGTTGGACGCGTCTCTGGGTGTCCAGACCTCTACAATACTCGAGCCTTCCTCCAGTGTCTGCAGGAAGTGCCCACTCACAACCTGACCACCCTACCCTGGTCTCTGATGGTGAGGCGCTCACTCAGTTTATACAATACAGCAAAGCTGAGCAGATTTACTTGTCCCGGACAAGTACCTTGAAATTTATTTACACTGACAAATTTTGGAGGAAATTTGCTAGCCATGAATTTATGAGAAAGGTAAAAGTAACATATCAAAATTTTCCTCAAAATATTATCTTGTCCACCGGACAAGTGCTGGGCACATGGATATATTAAGGTACATTTTCCGGCCCTATTCCGGGCACATTGGGACTGCCGGGTACTGCTAACTTGTAGAGAGTAAACGGTAATTTTATCCTATCATATTCTATTTACAAAATGTAAGAAGTCATTATCCTACATTAGGTGAGAGTAAAGTACTTCCTCTGGTCTCAGTGGGTGTTCTTCGTCCATCAGGCAGGGTGGATGCATCCTTTCCTATTCGGTCCTCGTGTGGATGGGGACTTCTTGCCGGACGACCCTCGCCAGATGCTGAAGGATGGGAGGCACCAGGATGTTGACATCATCTCTGGGGTGATGCGACATGACGGCAGCCTCATGACTCATAGTAAGGACGCTTCAGTTGTCTTCTAAAGTGGTATTGTCCTTGTCTGCGTTAGCCCATTATCCCCATCGGTTTGGCGGGAAAATTCAAATGAATCCTAGATATTCATATTCAAAGGAATTTACACCTATTCTATTAACTAGTAGTAATAGTAGTCGTATAACCATAACACACTGTTGAAACGTATAAGTTCAGATAAAAACCGCAGATACACTACCCCTATTTCAAGCTCTCATGATACGTGACGGCAGAACCACGTCAATGACAGTATGAGTTGTCCATCTCAATCGTATGTGATATACTGTACATAACACCAGGAACAAGTGGCTGCCATTAAGATAATACAAGCACGATTTTGAGTGACCAGTCAAATGCCTGTCCTCCTGTTCTCTCACGATATTGAAGATTATGTTAGTATTCTCTCCATGTAACTGCTATTATCACCCATAACCAGGATGTGTTTTTCTCCGATACATAGATATATTCTTCAACGAAGCCGCGCTGGCAGGGTACAACGCCAACTTCTCTGTGGTCGCCCCCATCTCACTGGAGTTCGAGGCTGGCGACGTGGACATCGCAAGCCAGACCAAGAGGATCTTCGAGTATTACCTGGGAGGCTCCACCGTGACAGTCGACAACGCTGCCGCTATTACTGAGGTGAGAACAACCTAACTTGACCACAAAGATTGGGTCCATTAGGAATGCGTTTCATTAAGACGGGTCTGCTGGCGTGCACAGCTTCTCCAGCACCTGCAGGACAAAGAGGATAATATTGTGTTATTCCTAGTTAAAGTAAAAAGCCTCCATTGAAACCGACAGAATGTTCTCGTTAAATTAGAAAGTTTTCTTTGTTAGATCAAAAGATTTCCTTGTCAAGCTGGAAGATTGTCCTCGTTAAACAATTAAACCAACTCTCGTTAAATTCAAAAATTGTCATCATTATTTAAGTTCACCAACCTTCAAATACTTAACAGACTAAGAGAAATTATTACTCCCCCGCAGATGATGACTGACCGACACTTCCGGCTGCCCCACGAGGAGACGACGGAGCACCTGGCCCGCACACTGCCAGCCCACAACAAGGTGTTCTCCTACCTCTTCAACCACAGGGGCCAGTTCTCATTAGGGGACATGAACAAGGACCGAGTGGTTGGCATGAACTGTAAGTTGGTGGTGTCCTCAAGTGAAAATTCCCTCTCCAGACCAATTAGATAACCACTGGACATTTTACCACGGGACAGTTTTCGACTGGATACTTTCTCACTGGAGATACTCCCAATAGATAATTTACTTGTGAATTAAACCTTACTGGATCAAAGTTATGTTTTGGATTTGGTATTGATTTAACAAATAAATTCTCAAAGTCAGACTTCAGTAAACTTACTACACAGGCATTTATCGCCAACTACGTATTGCTTCAAGACTAAACTCCTACTGATTAAAGTAAATTAATATTAGTTAGTTTTCTGTTTGTTGTAACTCATTTAATCGTGAATATGAATGTTGCGTTGTATACAACTGTGTAATGTTAGAGGCTGTTTATATTCCGAGACATAAGGAATCACAAGCCAGAAAAAAAGTTTCCTGTTCAGGGTGATGGAAAACTCCTTACTCACTGCTGTTATTAACAATATAACTTGTAATTCTTATGATAATGTAGGTGTTAATTATCGCAGTTGTCCAGGGACTTTTCGATCACCTAATACTTGATGTGCGTTTGTACCTAACATTCAAGAGAACTGATGTGTTCTCTTGAGTGCGAGACTAATATATATACAGAACAAGAACTCTACCATAACCAGGCGCGTGGCAGAAATGCTTTAAGATTTGAGCTTTCACAGAAGCAGGAAACATAGTCTTCATTGTTTAGTTAATAAATGCAAAAGTGTTGCCAGTGACGCCATTGCCATCAGTGCCACCAGTAACTCTTGCCTCATACTGTCCTCAGGGGTAGGTCATGGTGACGACCTGTTCTACATCTACAAATTTGCCATGCTCTTCCCCCCGTTGGAGAGAGATGACGACATCCGGCTGAGTGATATTATCATCAAGATGTGGATCAACTTTGCTGCCACCGGGTAATATTGTGTTGGTCGCGAGTGGCGGAGGAGTGATGGAGGAAGGACTAGAGGTGTAGAAAGAGCAGGTGGTTGATTGATTATTTGTATATAGTTCGTCTGGTGTTGTAACAGATAGAGTCACGATGGTTTTTAATTTAGAAATAATACAACAAAATCACAGAAAAAACACATACTTATAATATTTGAAACTATGCTTAAAATAGTTTAATGCTACGTTATATTTTCTGAAGTATAAAGTTAAAAATTCAGCCTCTGGAAATGAGACATTTACTCAATAACCAAGAATAGTCGGTAGTAACCATCCCTTCCCTGAGTCCCGGAGAGATGCCACCTCCTAAGTAAGTGTTTAATAGTGCAGGGGACCAAGCAGTCATCGCTTACTGGGTAGAGCGCTTGGCTCATTAGGTAGTCGGGTGTTAGCCTTGAGTGGTCAAAGCGAATCTCCGTTTTAATCTCAAGATGAGGTGGGGTGACGGAAGAGAAGGAGGAGGTGGTGTGGACAGAGGAGATATAAAGGTAATGGAAGAAGAGTGTTGGAGGATGAAGGAGGGGGAAGCAGGAGAGCAATGTATGGGATGAGAGAGGTAGCTAGATTGGAGATAATGGAGGGTTGTAGGAGAGAGAGAGAGGACAATGGAATGGTGTAGAAAACAAAAGAGGTGGTTGGCAGTGAAAGGAAGTGTTAAGGGAAAAATGTGGAGGCCAGAGAAGAGATGCAGAGACCCAAGATAACATGAATCACTGGAACACGTTTCACTCAAGATCACATAACAATCTTCAGCCTCGATAACACAACAACACGGCCATTAACAGAGGAGCAGTACACACACACACACACTCACACACACACACACACACACACATAACAGGTCCAATAACATGTAATGAAGACTTGGCTCTTTGATTATATGATGAAATTGATGTTTAGTCTAGTTCAGGCTACTTACATGTGTGTGTGTGTGTGTGTGTGTGTGTGTGTGTGTGTGTATATATTCATTATGTGAATCATTAATGTTTCCTTGTAAAGCTTTGGTTACGTTTTATATGAATGTAGTTTTGAGTGAATGAAACCTGTGGATCTCTCTTTCAATAAACTACTTTTAAACGTTTGAGACTTTGAAAACTATAAATATACCCGAATTTTGTATTTACATTTTTTGATTCACTGCTTTCCTTTAAGAAATTCGGTATATTCAAACCTTCTTAGTTCTCATTAAAAAAAAAAAAAACACAAAACTACACTTTTATGGCTTTCTAAAAATAAATAAATAACCGGTCACTAATACTTTCCAAAAAATTTCCCTTGAATGGAAATTATACTGAAACTAACTTCGTTTTCTCTATTTTAGAAACCCGACTCCCGACGATTCACTGGGGTTCAGATGGGGGCCCTTCAGTGAGCATAACAACCAACACCTGGAGCTGACGGTGGAGCCCACCATGACTCGCTACTCCAGGCACCAGGTGAGCGAGTCCCACTACTGTTAATAATATTCTCATAAATTTTAAAGGTAGATGATCAATGAAGTCCCAGCTGCGTTAGTGCAGGGATTGGAATTTGTTCACCTTTTGTAAATTGGTATTTTTTTTTATATAATTGAAGATGCCATTTGCTTATATTTTAACAATAGTAAATTTGACAAAGTCAGGTTCGATTCGGCTAGATTTAGTTCGGATCAGGTAAGTTTAATGTTGATACTATTCATTTATACAGGTAGTTTTATTATGTTTAGCCAACATCATTGTTACCAAGTCAAACTCTGATATAATCGGTAAATAGCCATTACTGTATATATAAGAGAATGTCTATTAGCACCCTGTCTCTGAACCTTGATCAAGATAAAGATTTGGGGCATCACTTTATTATTGTTATGTTTCGGGTACCAATCACTTTATTATACGGTTAGGTTTGGGAATATTGTTAAACTATACTAACAAGGTTTGGGGCATCAATACTAACACTACTACTGTACCCTTCATATTCCTTCCCCTTCTTTCACTCTTTCCCCGTCTCCTCGTCTTTACCATTTTCTTTTCTGTCTTACACCAGGTTCGGGAGTTTTGGTCATCGCTGCCGCTACTGGAGAACGTCATCTTGCACCCGGAGAAGGTGTCTCGCCTCGCTCACCACTGGCTGAGGGCCACGCAGGGAGAGAGGCAGTCCTTCACTGCCACAAAGGGCACCCTATTTCCTGGTCACTCCGATGACTTACCTCTACGCAAACCTGTCAAGGTTGCCCTGAGAGATGAACTGTAACCTCACCACTCTCCACGACCGACCAGCCATGCTCCTGGGCACAGAAAATTATTGTTATGAGAATCTTTGTTAAAATTGCAGTCTGTCTCAAACATGTCATAATTAAAAAAAATCCTAAGTAAATGTCCCTCGTCCCTGAACGCATCAAATTTATCAAGCTTCACCACCAAGTTGGGAGTTACAATGGTGTTGAAACAGCCTATCATAACTAGATGTGTTTCCTTAACACCGAAACTAATGGACGAAAATGAAAGTACAACTCCCTAGGAACCCTGTCTGTGTTCCAGTGAGCCTTGATGCTGCCGTCGGGACCTGTAGTGGGTTAAGTCTGGCCTGGGGCGTCCACCAACGACAACAAGGCGATGATGCTTCCTCCTCGACATCCCAGAAGGTACAGGGACCAAATAACACTTTCACAACAAGATATGAAGTGGACAGATTCCATTTGAAAATTAAAAAAAAAATTCAACAAAATCCCATCGAACGAACTCCCACCTGATGAAACACCACCGAACAAAATCGCAGCGTACAAGATGATAGGGTATAAAATAACTCCTCAGCACCAGTGATTTTCTTCATCTAACGGTGTCTGAAAGTAGACTAAATTAACTAAAAAAAATATATATAATACCATTTATGACTTTTGCACTTTTGTTTGTTTAGACTAGCAAATGTTAACACAGTAAATACAGGATCTGTGTTTTTATGCCCTAAAGTATTGTAGCTCGAGTTAAGTAAGCTAGATTCTGGTATAGCAAATTTTATTAAGGGGAGATAGTCTATTAACTAAGCATTGTGTGAGTACTCGGTATTTACCTGAGCTAAAGTCGTGAGCCACATTGTGAAATTATACCTTATGTTTACACTTCCTTTAAGTAACCAATTATAGGCAAGGTTATTTGGCTTCCGTAACTATAAAATAAACAAAATAAATGGAGTTATGCCTTGAGAAAGTTGTTTACAGTATCGATATCCCATAATCTGTGTTTCCATGCTCTATTGCTCTTACAATCTGTCTCACTTTAAAAAGCTGGTTTTCCGGCATCTTCGTGGTGTAGATTAATACGGTATAACCTTTTTTTTTTTCTATATTTACAATTTCTTTCCGTTCCTTTTTTTTCGCCCCCCAGGCTCCGTTGTGGGTCGTTTGACCTGTGCCCGGGTGAGCTAATTCCCGTTAAAAAAAAAGTACGTTATGAGAAAATAAGGATAGTATGATCGATGGCGGAGAAGCATAAGAAATCATGAATAAATATGATAATTTAAATCAAATAAAACAACCTGTCAATCATACATTAATAAACTAAAATCTCTTAAAAATTGAAGAAAAGATGACTAAATAATGTAAAAAATTAACATCATTTTACAACTCTTACATTGATATTAGTAAACAAAAGCCTACTCGCTGTACTCTAAAGAGGATCAATACAACGGTAATTCCTTTAGTTATCAAGTGACCCAGAGAGTTAAGATCACAGGGTCGGGGGAACAGTTATCATCAGTGTAATTTCTTGATATATGGCAGACAAACTTCTCTCTACTGAATATCGAGTTTACTTCCTCAACAGGGCCGGCCTTAGGAGGTGCGGGGCGCAATTGGGAACAATTTTGGTGGGCCTCAGGTTCCCAGCCAAGGTCTATAGAATCATAGAAATATAAATAAAGTCTATTATTGACTTTATATCTCTATGGTAGAATGGAAAGTAATCAAAATGTGCGCTTAACCAGTGCATGCGAGTTAATGGGCCAAACAGATCTAAGCTACATTTTAATATAAAATTGCATACATGTAAGCCTACACGTAACAAACAAAATGTGTAGATCACCTCTGAAAAGTACATAGTTACAATACCACTTGTTTTAGTGACTGTGAAATGATTTATTAAAAATATTAATTTATTTTTTGTTATTTTTGTCACACATAATGATATACGATCATCTTTTACCTGATGTCTTATGAACATTCTGTACAGCTCCCTAAAGTAATCTTCCGAAAATCAGTGACTTCATATTTCAGATATATGGTTTATATCTTGGTCACTAAAACTTACCTCATTTATGAGTCCTTTTCCCATTCAGTCACAATTAATGCAGTTTCTTCATCATGTTGGGACATATGATATGCTTCCTTACCATTGGTAAGTCCCAGGTGCATCCTTTTGCACTTTGTGACATTGAATTTTAGCAGCCATTTCCTCGACCATTCTTGAAGCTTACAGAGAAACTTCCTGCAGCCCTTCACAGTATGCTTGGTTCTTAATTTCCCTAAATAGCTTGGCATCGTCCACAAATATTTACATGGAGGAGTGTATAGCTTCTGGCATGTCATTTATGAAACAAACAAACAACAACGGGCCCAATACAGTACACTGTCCCGTGGTACCCCGCTTGTCACGGAAACACATGATGGTTTTGCACCATTGATCACCACACACTGCTTGCGATCATGGAGAAAGTCTCCAATCCATGCTAGGATGCTTCCCCGAATCCCGTACCCTTTCAGTTTAATTTCCAGCCTTTCATGGGGTACGCTGCCGAAAGCCTTGGCAAAATCAGGTGTATATCGTCGATATTGCCATTAATTCCGTATTAACAATTTCCTAGTCACAATTACAGCATATTAATATTTATAACTTACTTTATTTCAGGGGTAAATATATTAAGAGACAAAAATACCCATAATAGAGCTTGCTCCCGTACTTATTCAGATTGTTACCGTCCGCTGTTTTTCATTGAAACTGGGTTTAAAATTACCGATTATTTTACGTCAATTGCACAGTATCATCAGAAAAATAGTGTTAGGTCAGGTTAGGTTTTGTTTTGTTTTGTTGGTTTGTTGGTATTTTATTGATGTGATTTACTCGAAAAAATTAAAATTTTCGTTAAGATTGACGGGTAGGGCAGTGTTATCTCAAAAACTATTGATTTCCGGCTGAAATGAATATAAAATTCGCTCGACATTTATCAAAAAACATCGGAAAACATATTTTTAATATCCAAACAAAGACCGGTGCATAAGTGAAATTTTACCAAATAATCTCTATCACAATGTCGGCACAGCTCTTTCCACCTGTTCAGCCATATCTGGTTATTCTGGTTCTGAGAAATCAAATCTCCGCTCTCGACGCATCCAGATATTGTTCATTGGCTAAGACAAAAAATCTTGCCCAATTATAAGTCTCCTATCGCTATAGCCAATAAGAAACTCCCACACCAACCCCCGCATGTCGCACATGCGCTATAGACGCTTAAGAAGCTAACACGGAGGTAAGGAGAGGAGCACTGTGTGATGGGTGGTCAGACCTTCTATGTGAGACGTAAAAACAAATGGCGACACTTGTGACTGACCAAATCTAATAAAATTGAAGAAAAAATAATATCTCGGTTACCCTTAATTTGCGGCAGAAACATCATAGAAGAAAAATATCTTAGAATTGTCTAAACATTACGAAAAACATATTAACAGCGAGAGAAAGACCGGTGCATGACTGAAATTTCACCCCCAATTTTCACTGATTGTATTAGGGAATACTATATTATGTTGGGGAAAAATATTAAAATGGGTGAAATCATGTGATAACCTAAGAAAACCTGACCTGATCTGACCTAACCTGACCTAACCTAGCCTATATGTTAACTCGCTTATATCTAGAAAACTAAGCATTTGCACAAGAATATGAGGTTAATTTATAGTATTACACCGGTCTGTATTTCGATATTAAAAATAAGTTTTTCCTATGTATTTTGATGAGTTTTGATCGAAGTTGCTATTAATTTCCACCGGAAATCACGTGTTTTTTTTAGATCCCCCCCTCCCACTCAACAATCATAAAGGAAAAAGTTGGATTTCTTTTTTAGAATAAGAACAAAATTATATTACCAACCAATCAAGAAAACCTAACCTAACCTAACAAGTTATTCATGACCCAGATGCTTAAAGAGCGAAGTCGGAGGCCTGGAGCGATGCATGTGCAAGAGGTCAGACCACCTCTGCCATAAGTTAACAAATCATGGCGACACTTGTGACTGACAGAAAGTAATAATTTGAAAAATTAATATCTCGGTTATCCTTAATTTCCGGTGGAAATATCATAGAAGAAAAATGTCTTAGAATTGCGTAAACATTACGAGATACATATTTTTAATACGGAAATAAAGATCGGTGTGATACTATAAATTCACCGAAAATGAAGAGAAGGAAAAGCATAGTGTACAAAACTGTGGTATAACTGCAGTTTCGGACAATATGGATCTCGAGTTGAGCAATGTGTTTTTCCGATTGTTTAGACAATTTTAAGACACTTCCTACATAACGTATCTCGCAAATTACTTAAATATACAGGAATCATCATTGAAGAAAAGCGTCTTAAAATTGTCTAAACAATCGGAAAAACATTGTTCAACTACTAGGGGTATTGTCCAAAACTGCAGTTTTACCAAAACTCACCCAAAAAACTACTTAAAATTACTTAAGCACCGACGGTCACCAACCGTATATTTGCCTTTGCTGCTTTATTAACTTTAGAAAATTAGTTACTAGAATTAAAATAAGCACATACCTGCATCTGCTGTTACCCAAACACAGGTAACGTGGCACAGGATACTGTAGCGGTGTATAATTTATAACTGGCAAAGGTGACAGCTTCGCTCCCAGGTAAATTTGTTTGGTTACTAATATTCTGGTTTTTGAGCATGCGCAGTTCCTTTACCATTATCGCATTTTACCCTCTATTAATAAGGCTAAAAACGTGATTTAATGGCCTATATATTATGTTAGACTATTTACAATAATCTGGAATTTATTTAACCTAGTCATATTGTCATATATAAATATATATACAGCTGTGTTAAAAATGTTTGTGTTAAAGAACATCCTCGACTCGTGCTCGAACCCAGGAGGTAATGGAGAGTCAAGGTAGGTTATCTACCTACCTTGATGGAGATTGGTACGCACACTATCGGCTACAATATACCAGTTAAAACATTATTTTAGGAATAATATGATGCTGAATTATGTTTAACAAGCTCAAAAATGATTAAATTGGTCTTGGCAATCGTTTCAGAATCATTCCAACAAATAATGTTTTATCTAAAACCCTTAGCCATGACACATTCTTATTTTATCCTCTTCGAGCTTTACACTCAGGGAAGTGGAAGGCACTAGAGAGAAGTGCTGCCTACATTGTCTACAATGGGCAAATTACGTGAAAATGAATTTGCCAATTATATAACTTTGAACATTAGACTTCCCAAACACATCAGTTATAGGGTTTATTATGGGAAATGTATACTGTATATCAAGTATGAGAAGTGTAGCTGTCTGTTCACAATTTATAAGCTGCCTCTGGTGCCCGAAATACCCTTCTTATTAGAAAGCTGATCTTGGTCACGTTTTTACTTTTACTTAACTTTATCCTCTTCGCCACTGATCGGCTCGTTAGCTGCTTGGTCACGTCTCTGATACGCACTGAATGGCAAGTACTGGGCATGCCATGCACTGGCTCCACATGTAGCTGAACCTTCGGGGCAACTTCTGGTCCGCTACACCAGTATAACGAACTTGTTCTACGGAGTGGCTGACATCGTAACATTGTACTTTTTCTTTACACTTGGGTAATGTTCTAGATATCGACCACTCACCTGGCTCCTTCATCCCCTTTATCCACGCATCTGACTTAACTTTAGTAATTCCTCTCCATGTTTCCTTCTGGTCTTCAATTTTTCTCTCTTTCTCCATCTCCCAACATGAAATCTTTGCCACTTTTCCATCACTAGGCATCATTTAACTCCTATCTACTTCTCCTCTTTCTGATAATAATCTTCTCCCTGTCTAATATTCTGTTATTGCTACTCCTCTCCCCTCTCCGTATTTCCTCTAAAGTTTTATAATAGTTTCCTGTTACTGTATCTACAAACTACTAAACTTTCTTGCATGCCTTCCAAATTCATTAGCATTTCCTACCTTAAACTCTCGCCCAGTTTTCCTCACCCTTTTATTAACTTCTCTTTATTCCTGTTTTCTCATCTGTTTTTTTTTGGTGTGATTTTCTGCAACGTTTTCTCCGAGTTTCTCTTTGTTTTGGTATTGTTTTATTTTTGTGTTCCAACATTGCATCTCCTCACAAACATCAATCACATTATTTTCACTTGCGTTTTTTAACCACAAATCCCTACTTTTTTTTTTACTTCCTAGGATTGTCTTGATATCACCTAACAGTGCTCACAAATCCCTACTTTTTTTTTTACTTCCTAGGATTGTCTTGATATCACCTAACAGTGCTAACACTAATATTTTTCAGAAGCTCTGGAGTCTTGGATACACTAATTTAACCGATACTTAAACTTTCACATTTGTATTTTTCTGTTTGTTTACTGAGATCTACGCACATGTAGAAAATAATAATTTAAATTATACTAATCTAGAGTGCTTTCTTCCATAACCTATTGTTTGATCTTTCGTAATCGAAGCTATGAGAATTGCTAGTTTCTTCTTTTCTTTGTATATTTCATTCAGTCCTGACCAGACTAACCATTCAATTCGAATCATTCACCTCATCCTATATATTGCGTGACTCGTCTTCCACGCCTCTCCTTCCAGCAGATGTGTCTCCTAAATTCTCAACACATTTATAGACCAAGCAGTAAATATATCTACAGGAGTCATGGCAAAGGAGTCCTGTAACATGACTCATCTTCGCCATGTCAATTAAGTTGTGTGCATTCCTCGCGTCTATACTATGATGCTAAGACTGTTAATGTTTTGTGTAATGAGTGCGGGTCACACAATTCGTCAGTCGATGAAAACCTCTTCCTGGTTTTCCCTGTCAAGGTTAAGGAGAGCTGATTTGATAATTCTTGCTGTGGAACTAACCACCAGGTAACGAGAGAAGTAACCTTGAACACTGATAATACCCTCGGGCCTCGGCAGCCTCAGTGGCCTCACTGTACATTGTACAAGCATGATTCAGTAGTATCCAAGCTCATCTTAGCTACGGTTGTGTACCAGTGAATAGCAGGTGAGTTGTGTTACTGTACCATATATATATTTACCACTGAACCACAGTTGTAATGCTGTGTAAGATAAAAGTAAAAATAAAGCAATGAGCCGATCAGTGGCGAAGAGGATTAAAGAAAAAAATATATATGCTAGGGTGGTGTAGGTAGGGGTTGCTGGCATTCGAGGATATTTTGTCCTCAACTAAGTGAAATCAATAACTCAATACAAAATTGTCATTGCCATTCCATTATTTATGGGCCGTCTGCAAGGTTTAGATGTTTATAAAATACTGTATAGATAAATAATGAATTGGATTCACGAACTGATAACATATACTTTTACACTTTTATCCTCTTCGCCACTGATCGGCTTGTTAGCCGCTTGGGCGATCGGTCACGACTCTTTTCCTTTATATTCTTCACCAAAAGGTCGGCTCGCTAGCCGCCCGGGCGATCGGTCACGTCTCTGTCACGCACTGTTGGCAAATACTGGGCATGCACCGGCTCCTGAATGTACCTGAACCCGCTCCAGTGTTGGTCAAGTCTTCTCTTGAAAGAGCTCACACTCGGTGCCGTCACAACACTTTCTGGTAGATTGTTCCAAGAGTTTACAACCCTCACTCCGAAAAAGTTTGCCCTCACGGTTTTTCCGGACTTGCGGCTTCTTCAATCTTGAGCTGTGACCCCTTGTGGGGCGAGCGTCCGCCAGCTCCAAGTAAGGACACTCAACTGAGTAGTGCCCCCTGAGATGCTTATAAACCTCAACTAGGTCCCCCCTTGCCCGTCTGTAGTATAAGCTAGGCAAGTTCAGGCGCTCCAATCTCGCAGGGTAGCTGAGATGCCGAAGTGCAGGCACCAGCTTGGTGGCCCTCCTTTGAACATTTTCAACCAACTGACAGTCCCTAGCATATCTCGGGGACCAGATGGGGTGACAGTACTCCAGATGGGGAAGCACTTCACTCCTGAAGATCGTCACGAGGGACGGACCGTCTAGATATCTGAACGACCTTCTTATAAGACCCAATAATTTATTTGCCTGATTTACCTTCTTCTCACAATGGCCCGAGAACTTCAGCTCATTGTCAACATACACACCTAGGTCCTTCTCACACAGTCTCAACTAGTACATTTTCTTCATCCCGTTGGGACATATGGTACGCCTCCTTACCGTTGGTACGCCCCAGGTGCATCCTCTTACACTTCGTGACATTGAATCTCAGCAGCCATTCCTTCGACCATTCCTGGAGCCCACAGAGGTCCTTCTGCAGCTCTTCACAGTCCGCTTGGTTCTTAATTTCCCGAAATAACTTGGCGTCATCGGCAAACATTTGTATGGAGGAGTGTACAACGTCAGGCATATCATTTATGAAACAAACAAACAACAGCGGGCCCAATACACTACCCTGCGGTACCCCACTTGTTACAGGTACAGATGACGATTTCGTGCCATTAATCACCACACATTGCTTGCGGTCATGTAGAAAGTCTTCTATCCACGCTAGGACATTTCCCCGAATTCCGTACCCTTCCAGTTTGATTTTCAGCCTTTCGTGGGGTACACTGTCGAAAGCCTTGGCAAAATCTAGGTAAATATTGTCGATATTACCACCCCGTTCTAGAATATGGGTCCAAATATCCAATACCTTGAGCAATTGTGTCAAGCAAGAGCGCCCCGGCATAAAACCGTGTTGGCAATCTTTTACAAGGTTGTTTCGTAGTAGATGTTCCATCGCTGCATCTCTGATAATACTCTCAAGTACTTTACATATTATGCTGGTCAGGCTCACCGGTCTATAGTTGTTCGTGGAGTGCCTATCGCCCTTCTTGAAGATAGGACTCACATAAGCCACTTTCCATTCACTGGGGACCATTTGTTCATCCAGGCATTTACAAAACAGAATCTTCAGGGGCTCTGCAAGCTCGTTGCACAGCTCCCTTAGCACTCTAGGATGCACCATGTCAGGTCCAGGACTCTTATGGACCTTTAGCCTGGACAGTTTATTTCTAATACCCTCTTCTGTGAACACAATGTGGGTCAGTGCTGTGTCGAACCGTCTGTCCTCAAACGCAGGAAGGTTAGTTGCATCCTCTCTTGTGAACACTGAGGAAAAGAAGCTGTTCAATGCCTCAGCTTTATCCTGGTCAGAATCTGCGTAACTACCATCTTCAAGCCTCAGGTCTGATACTCCTACTCGCGTTTTCAATTTCGACTTTGCATAGCGGTAAAACGCCTTTGGGTTTGACTTGACCTCGCGTGCAACCAGCCTTTGGAACTCCTTTTCAGCCCTCCTACACTCTATCTTTGCTTGGTTTCTGGCTCTTGCATACATCCTCCTGTCTTGCTCATCGTTTGACCCAACCCACGTCTTGAATTTCTGGGTTTTCTTCTTAATTTTGTCGACCGCCGCATGGTTCATGTGTAGGGATCCCCTCGTATTCCTAGAAGCACTGGGTTTGGTCTTGGGTATATATTTATCGATCAAATGGGTCATTTTACTAGTTATGATATTCAGCGTAGTGTCTGCGTTCTTGTACCTTAATAAGTCAGGCCAGTTGATACCCCTCATCTCTTCCCTCATCCCATTGTAATTTCCCTTGTAATATTTGCACCTTGGCCTGGCCTTATCTTGAACTAGGTAACAGTTAAATCTGAATGACAACACTGTATGGTGACTGGTGCCAACTGGGGCAAGGTGTTCCAGTTTGGCCACCATACCCTCCTCGTTTGTTATGATGAGGTCAAGTGGCTTGGGTGTTTGTTCCCCTCTGTAATGTGTCGGGTCTCTCACATGTTGGAACAGAAAATTATCTCTCAGAGTTTCTACAAAAAGAGTAGCAGGATTATTCAAGTCATTCGGGGTTGACTCGTTTCTCCAGTCGATGTCGCCATAGTTAAAGTCCCCCATGATAAGGAGGTGGCTGGGGTTGAGCATCGCCGCATTGTTTATTAAGGTTCTTAAGTTCCTTTGATTTAGTGGGCCACAGTTCGGGGATCTGTAGATACACCCGACGATAAGTAAGTCCCCTCCCTTTAATTTAATTTTACACCACTTGGACTCTTCAAAGACATCCTCTCCCTGTACCCTCGCCTGGCTGGCTCTAAGGTCTTGCCTAGCGTAGATAACCACACCCCTCCTGCAGGATTCTTGAGTTAGGTTCGTAAATGAGTCATATCCAGCAATACTGAACTCACATTCCTCTGGGTCGATTCTCCTGTTCTTGTACAACAGTTCTACAACTCCTACAATATCTGGTTGGTGTACTCTTAGTAGTGTTTCAAACTCCTCCCTCTTATCAAGGAACGTGTCGGTATTAGTGTACATGACATTCAAGCCAGAATTTGTTCTCGGTAACGTCTCTGCTCTTAGTAATAAACCCGCTCCACCCACATTCTCAGAAGCTGCAGCATTTGCTAAGTACACTGTATTTTGCAGGGTGTGGTTAAAAATTTCATTGTTTACACGGCGCTCGTTCCCTCCTGTCCGGTAGGCTGAGCCGGTGCCGCCTCCCGGGTGGGGGGTTGAGTGGGTGGAGGGTGCACTGCTGCCCCCTGGCCCTGTGTCGGCACACTTGTTTCCACTACCCTCCCCCTGAGTATAACCCATGTGCACCTGTCCCCGTTCCTTCTCGACTCCTCCCTCTTCTGCTTCAAGTCCAGCAGGAGCTTCTTGTGCTGTTCCCTCTGCATTACCGTGCGGTCTGGGTGAATAAATACATCTCGAAATGCCTCGCTCCTTGCTAAGTTTTTTGCCTGCCGGATAACTTGCCATTTTTCCTCCTCACTCCCTAGTGTGATCCTGAGGGGGCGAGGCTTAACCCCCTGCTTTTGTCCCAGTCTCCTCACATCCTGAGGGGTTGCTGGAATCTTCAGAACCTCTGTGCAAATATTTTGAAACAGCACCTTATCGTGTGTTTCCTTACTCACAGTTCCCTCTGCCTGGCTCTCTGGGACTCCAAAAACTATTACATTGTTCCTGCGCTGGAGCCGTTCCTGGTGTTCCTCCTCTCCCCTAACAGTAGGTCCGTTAATTTTCATTTCTTCGACACACTTTTTCAGAGTCCCAATCTGCTGTAGAACCTGTACTGATTCTGCATTACTCTCCGCCCCCCCCACCCGTGGCCCTCCTAATACGTCAGCATAGCTCCTCTTAGCAACCACCTCCATTCTATTAGCTACTTCCTCAGTCTTAGCAAGGATCTCTTTCTCAACTTGCTCCAGTTTGTCAACCAGCAGGGCTCCTGCTTCATCTATTTTCGTCCCTAGAGAACTCGTTCCCTTATGGATTGCAATCGCTTCATTCACCTTGACTATGCAGCCAGGGCAATACCAGCAACAGCCATCAAGCTTTACGGCAGTTAGTAACTTCCTAAACGTTGCATTAGTTAGGCCTGCATCCTCCATATCCGACGTCTCCCTGCAGTAATCACATACCAAACTCATGGTTGTTGTTGTTGTGGGGGGGGTGTAGACTGTGTATAGATCTACACCTATTTCAAAGAAAATAAAGAGAGAAAAAAGTACTTAGCTACTCTCTGTTGCCTATGGAGTTGTCGTCTGCGACTGCGTACACTGTATCTCCCTGTGAATGGTGTATTGTAGGCACAGTTTCAGTCCTTGAGCAAGCACACAATCAACATAAAATAAAATTTAAAGTCTCTGTGGCACCTATGACACGACTTGGTTTCAGCTGGCACGGTGCCTTTCCAGCTTGCTTGCTAGTGAGCGCTCACTTTAAGTTATTTACAACTTCAGCGGTCACTGATGACACTATGAACTATCACTGTGTACACTGTATCTCCCTGTGAGTGGTGTATTATAAACACAGATTCAGTCCTTGAGCAAGCACACAAACAAAATAAAATTTAAAGTCTCTGTGGCACCTATGACACGAATAGGCTGGCAGTTGTCCTTACCAGCTCGATTGCCAATATGTATTCACTTTAAGTTATTATAGTCTCTTCTGCATTCACTGATGACAACTATGAACTGATTTAACTGAAGGCACAGTACTACACTCCCTGGTTGGCCTTTATCACAGCCGTGACCACAACACCCTAAAAAATAAAATAAAATAAAAGCTTTGTCATGTGGCAGTGATTGTGTGGTTATAGGCCTGTGACCCTGGCTGTACCTCCAACTCGGTGGAAATTGAGTTTTCAAAAATACAATCGTGTCTAGCATGAAAAGTCCGACATCGATTTACACTTTCACCTCACTAAGACGATCTTGACGAACTTATGTAATCACTGTCCAATTTCTGCCGCTCTACATCGAAGGCCCGGATGCCGAACACGCTTTGTTACAGAGACGCAACACGACCCGCCCGCCCGCAAAAACTGTACAGTATGTATTACATAACTGTACTGCGGTATATGATAGGCTATAACCCACTGTTCACTGGCTAGCTGTCATAGAATTATGTTATGGCCGTGTTGATGGTTTTGATTGGCGAACGAGGATTCATTTTCGGTGAGTTACCTTCTACTCAAACCAACTTTCGAATTGGGTTTCTTAGCAGAAAAACACTTTCATATAAGTCATCGCCTTTCTTCATGAACTTCAATGTTTTCGATCAAGGATCACTTTAAACTGTTCCTTTAACAATACTCTCGGAAATTAACACACACCTGCGCATATTGAACGAAAGCAACCCCGGATTTCTCGCAGAATGATTTGCGGTTAAGCAAACGATGACGTATTATGCTTAGGCCCTATTGTAATATATATATATATAGATATATATATATATATATATATATATATATATATAAATATATATATATATATATATATATATATATATATATATATATATATATATATATATATAACCACAATGAAAACGTTTTTATTCAAGACATCTTCAGAGGCAACTGAAGATGTCTTGAATAAAGACGAAAGTAAGGTACCTGTTTATATATATATATATATATATATATTATATATATATATATATATATATATATATATATATATATATATATATATATATATATATATATATATATATACAGAGAGAGAGAGATATGAGTATCTTTCCAGTTAATTGAAGTCATTCACGTATAGGATGAGGATGTGGGCTAGCTTGCTGGTGGTGGTGGCGGGGGTGACAATGGCGCAGCAGTACAAAGAGCAGCCGGAGGAGCAGAGGGAGGTGCCAGTCATCACGACACTGCTGGGTAGGATCTCCGGAGTCAAGGAAGAATCTAGAAATGGCAAGACCTTCCACGCCTACTATGGCATCCCCTTTGCCAAGCCTCCTGTGGGTGAATTGAGGTTTATGGTCAGTTTGGTGTAAACTACAATGGATTTGTTTAAGTTAAAAATAACCATAAATAGTAACATTAAAGTTATCACATAAAGGTACATAAATATACAGAAATATACTGTATGCATAGAGGTATGGCTTATTTGAAATATACAGTATATGTATACTGTACAGGAAATAGAAATATCCGATTTATTCTGTATTAAGGTAATGCGGTTCGTTATAATATACTGTAGGAGTAAGGAAAGTGTATGAACAATATTGTATTTTAATAAAAGAGTGTGTGTGTGTGTGTGTGTGTGTTAGTGCTGTAGTTCCAAGACCATGAATCCTAGAAGCCTGAAACTTTGCATGCACACTAAAGGGACGTTGCGGGTGTGCACTTCGGCATTACTTGTTTAAGTTTGGGTGAAAAAAAAAAGAAGGGGACAACGATTACCGGGAGCCATACCTAAAAGAGATAATGTTGATGATAGTGTAGTTTTGTGATGCTGAACGTAAAGCAGGTCATGAAATGCCTGTAAGGATTTAGGTAGTAAGCTGTCAAGTGGCGAGGAGGGTAAGTAAGGAAGTAAACATGAGAGTTTAGTGAAGTTTTAACCAGAGTTGGACGAACGAATTAACATGTTATTAGATGAACATACCCATCAAGTGACCATGATGCGTTTCATTAATTTGACGTTACATATGTACAGTGGGTTAACATCTGCTGCCGCCATAAACAACACTATAGCTACACTTACAACAGCGACGATGACCATGCTGACTATACTGTGAGGGAAAAGTGTATAAGATGACGAATCTAGTTACAGTTTTTAACGGATGTGACTCTTGCAGGATCCCGTTGCCTCGGAAGGATGGCAGGGCGTGAGGGAGGGGAAGAGCCATGCCTCATCCTGCCCGCAGGTGGATATGCTGAAAAACATGATGGGTGGTGAACTCTCCCCTGTGGGGTCAGAAGACTGTCTTTACCTCGACGTGTTCACCCCACAGGTCAGTGACGACTCTCACAGATTCGCAAAATAATCCCCTTGTGGAAAAACAATTACAGTTATAATAGAGCCTATGTATAGTTTCGACGCTATTCTTGTTAGTAAGGTATTACCAAGTTGTTGTTTAAGTGAGACGCTCCCAAAGCTTCTATTTAAAGTTAGTATTAATGTACGAAGTCTTCAGAATCCACACACACACACACACACATACATCTAGACTTAGATTATTTAAGGTTCGTAGGTTGGTATCTTACTAGTTGTCTTAGTGAGCCAGTTAGATGTGTTGTCAGGCCAAGCCACAGTGAGTCTTACTGTTATCATCAGGGAAATTATCGTATCTTAAACGCTAGTAAGTGGTCGTCTTTGTTATTATTACCGTAATATTTTTAATTCGTATCAAGATACATATAATTATATATTAGCAGTATTGTTAGTATTATCACCTTCATTATTCTTACCATGGTAACAATTATTACTCTTTTCATGATTATTAGTATCGTTATAATTATTCCAATCAATTAATTTCCAGTTTTATCCTTAGTCTGACCTTTTTATTGACCTTATTAACCCGGGTAAGTTTATGCAGATATAGTGTTCAATGACCTCATTCAGTTTCCTTTGTTAGTCACTGTGTAACATTTTACTGGTTGCATGCTTCCGTTTTAAGCGTAAGATCTTGGCGAGTTTAAATACTTTCTCTTTCTTCATGGGTTATAACTATCTTCATCATCTTTAATACAAACCCAAAACACGCTTAGTCATCCATAGGATCTTCCTCACCTCAGACTGTCAAGGTGGGCGAAGGTCTGCCAGTGTTGGTGTCCATCCACGGTGGCGGGTTCATAGCCGGGGACGGGAAGATGGGCTCCCCACACTACCTGATGAATAACGACGTGGTGGTCGTCAGCATACAGTACCGCATCGGGATATTCGGTGAGTACATGTACAAGAATGCTGGAAAATAAAACAAATGTAAATAGACACGAATGTAAGCAAAACGAATATAATTAAACAATCACTCAAAATCAAATACATATCAAGAACGGATGTTGTCATTTCTGAATCTCTTAATATATTTTGGCAAAGTCGAGTCGATTCTATTTCATAAATCATTCGATATTGGAGACATGTTGAAAATTAAAATTTAATTAAAATATTCCGGCTTATAGTGAGGAATAATATATTTACGTGTGCACAGAGTGTATGAGAGAGAATTAGTCTCTCTCTCTCGTAGGTAGGTTAGGTTGGGTACACGTAAATAAATTATATTTCACTGTAAGGCAGAATATTTTTCTTATAGATAAGGACAGATTTAGTTAGGGTAGGATAGGGTAGGGTTAGTTAGGGTAGGATAGGGTAGGGTAAATTAGGTTAACTTTGGATAGGGTAGAGTAACTTAGGTTAATGTAGGTTAGGGTAGGGCACGTTAAGGTAAGGTAAATTATCTTAAGATAGGTTAGGTTGCGTTAAGGTTGGTAAGGTTAGGCTAAGCTAAGGTATGTTAATTTAAATTTGGCTAGGTTAGATTAAGCCAGCCTAGGTTAGCTTAAATTAGGCTCAATGAAATTAGGCCAAGCTATACTTAGATTACGTTAAGCTAGTTCTGGTAAGCATAGGTTAAACAAACTATCATGGGTGTGATACGACGTTTAGCATGTACACTCGGAAACCATAATCTCTAGCCCACAGGGGTTGGTGCTGGAGGTTAGAACAGTGTCCTTTCTGGACGGGGGCCCACTCTAACTATCACGAGGCAAAACACGCACGAACACACAGTCATAGTACGGCTGTATAGATGACATTATGTATAAATATTGTATATGGCATTTTATACTCTGCATTATCTTCTTTATATATGAACACGAAGAAAAAATACCATAGGTTGTAGTTACGAAAGTATTAATGGAAATAAATACTTCCAAACCACCCAGTGACTCCACACAACGTTTACAGCGATTGTGTGTGTGTGTGTGTGTGTGTGTGTGTGTGTGTGTGCCAGACCACGATGTTTCCCATCATTCGCGTAACTATATGAAAAATTGTGTTTAATTTTACTACATATTTCAAAAACCTTAAATTATATGTGGATCAGTCATTTCTCATTTGACACACTTAGTGTAATACTTTGACCATCCCACCTGGGCACATGGAGGCCCACGGTAACTCTCACGGGGCAACATAAGTACGAACACACAAATTATGATATGAACCCTTCCAGGTTTCACTATCAGTATCATGTTATGTTCATCTTGATCTGTATCTTGGTAAGTAGTCATAGTATCAATACATGACAGTGTTATTAGTATAATATTGTAACTTTTACCATACAGTTATTGTTGTAAATTATGGACAGGATGGATACATAAATTGTAATATCAAGTGTAAGGTTCGCTCAAACCCACCCCAAGTCAGCCAACGCGTCACACAAAGTTACACTGTGTGTGTGTGTTTGTTCTGCAACATTAAGCTTCATCCTTAGTAGGTAAGATGTTTCATAAAGAGGTTTCTCCCATTCGTCATTGTGAGCATCGTCCCAGAGCACATTGTTTCCATCAAAACCATGGTTCATCCTTATTTCCCTTCTTCCGTGTAACTATATCCATATGGCTAAGTGCTTGCTTTTCATTTCTTTATTTACCAAGATAATGTGGATCAGTTACTCGTTATTTAACACATACAGTACATGCGCGTAGAGCATCAAGATTGTTTTTTAGGCATGACTATTGGTTAATTGAAACCCCAAAAATATTTTTCACATTTATTATGCATAAACATTGTAAACATATCTATGTGATTATTGTAATATATAACATATATTTAACGTCTGGACAGATTCCCAAGAGTTATGCATATTAATGCATAGATTTTGTAAGCATATTTATGCAAAGTGACGTAAAACCACCTAGTAAAATACCTGGACAAATTCGCGAGAGTTAAGAAACGAAGTCTATGTGGCCCCAACGAGGTTACACCAGAGAGCAAACTCCCCCGCCACCCCCTACAAGGCACCGTCGTGGGCGGAGATTTAATTCTTGACCACAGGTTAATACCGTGTCCAACCTCCATCTGCTGCTATAACTTCATGCAATCTGGTGGGCATGGAATCTACCAGATTGCTGCAGATGTTCGGCCTCCTCCTTATTCCCTCCCACACATTATGTGCGTGTCTCCTCACTGCCTCAGTGCCTCACTCGTTTTCTCCTCAACATCCCATTCAACAACCATATGCGCCCATATCTATTGGATTACATTCGGCTCCTTTAGGGGGCCAGTCCAATAGAAGAATCTGCGGGTGCGCCTCAAACCAAAGCTTGACTGCCTGACTTGTATGTATTGGACTGCGGTCTTGCACCATACATATAGGCTGTGGGTCTGGAATGGCATATGAGTTGCTGGGAGGATGGTTAGCAGTCCTGTTGAACTAGCAGGTAGACAAAATAGAAAACTCACAGCCAAACTGTAAGAAAACCCATGGAAAATGAGACATTAGTAAAATATACTAGGTAATTTTAGTGCGTGCACACACATTATATACAGACCTATTGGTCCTTGCGAGGCTGTTTGGTTATGCTATGCTAATTAGTTTGCTAGGGTGAAGGAAATTATGTGTATATATATATATATATATATATATATATATATATATATATATATATATATATATATATATATATATATATATATATATGCTGATAACCACAAGGAAAGAAGAAAACACGAAGTTCCCAAGCGCTTTCGTGTAATTCACATCTTCAGGGGTGAGTACAGACTAGAGAGAGTAATACAAATCAAGGTGTATATATACAGAGGAGGGTGAGACCAGGTCCACAATGGTCAGGTATTAGGTAATGACCTTACTAATCTTTAAATAGCACACAACGGTTGGTGGTCAGGTCAGATGGTCAAGTGACCCGGCCTTCTCACCTGATCACAAATCTTCTTAATTACAAAATTGTCCAGCTTGTACATGCCGTTACTCAAATTCATGTTGGATGCTTCGGTATGTTTAATAAGACTAGATTCTATGATGTTCCTACTATCAATTGAATTACATGGTAATATTGAGGAGGCATTATCCCAGTCAATGCAATGCTTGTTATCCCTCAAATGAACAAACAGAGCATTGGATTCCTGGCCTGTCCTAACACTGTATTTGTGTTGTTTAATTCTAGTTGCAAGATCTTTACCTGTCTGGCCTAAGTAAAACATATTACATTCCTTGCAAGGAACTTTATAAATGCAACCAATTGTGTTGTTGGGGGAGTTCTTGATTAACATTTGTTTAACAGTGCATGAGTTTTTAAATGCCACATTGACGTTCCAGGTTTTTAGCTGTGCAGGAATGTGTGAGAAATTTTTGTGAAATGGTAATATTAAGATATTCTTATGGTCATGGGTGGGCTTGGGGTCAGTTCTATAAAAAGTTTTCTTAGTAATGTTTAAGCATTTGTCTATGAAAGATCTAGGGTATTTAAGGTTTGAGCCAATATTATATATATATTTGTATTCCTCATCGATGAATTCCGGACTGCAAATTCTCAAGGCACGTAAAAACATTGTTGAAAATACTGACTGTTTGACTTTATTATGGTGGGCAGATCACTAGCGTAGCTAGGGGGGGCGGGGGGCGGTCCGCCCCGGGCGGCACTTTTGGGGGGGCGGCACTTTTGGGTCTGCTCATCACCCATATCTGCAGCTACTGGAGACGTTAATCCATCCCTTTGTATCGGCGGCAAGTTAATCCTTGTCGTGTCTGACCTAACACCTGACCCACATCATCACGGCCACGTCATGAGCTACACCCTTGCTATGCGCCCCCCGCCACACACACAACCTGTAACCTGTTGAGGATTAAGGAAACAACTTCAAACAAGTACGCCAGTGAGCTCATGTGGTGTGGGTCAGGTGTTAGGTCAGACACGACGAGGATTAACTTGCCGCCGATACAAAGGGAAGGATTAACGTCTCCAGTAGCTGCAAAACCATGCAGTCTCGGGTCATATCAGTTCATGTACAGCCGACCAATCCACCAGTTACAAGCAATTCACTTCAGTTCTGCACAAGTCTCCATCGTGACAAGACGAGGGAGGCTAGACGACTTTTAAGTTCTCTTGTGTTTTCGATCCAGTTATTTACTTCGTTGGAAGACATAATACTATAAGGTAAGAAATATTAAAGTATTGGTTAAAAAATATTGATGTGACTTTTGCTGCGGTACTGAGATTAAATATTAAGATTTTGTTTCACAGCATTGCGATTTTATACTAAGACACTATCCTCACTGGGGTACAGACAAAAGCCCCCCCGACAAAAGCCACCCAGACAAAAGCCCCCCAGACGAAAGCCACCCAGACAAAAGCCCCCCAGACAAAAGCCCCCCAGACAAAAGCCCCCTACTTTGATCGGGGTGGCTTTTGTCTGACAACAATTCATTATTATTCTGCCCACCATAATAAAGTCAAACAGTCAGTATTTTCAACAATGTTTTTACTTGCCTTGAGAATTTGCAGTCCGGAATTCATCGATGAGGAATACAAATATATATATAATATTGGCTCAAACCTTAAATACCCTAGATCTTTCATAGACAAATGCTTAAACATTACTAAGAAAACTTTTTATAGAACTGACCCCAAGCCCACCCATGACCATAAGAATATCTTAATATTACCATTTCACAAAAATTTCTCACACATTCCTGCACAGCTAAAAACCTGGAACGTCAATGTGGCATTTAAAAACTCATGCACTGTTAAACAAATGTTAATCAAGAACTCCCCCAACAACACAATTGGTTGCATTTATAAAGTTCCTTGCAAGGAATGTAATATGTTTTACTTAGGCCAGACAGGTAAAGATCTTGCAACTAGAATTAAACAACACAAATACAGTGTTAGGACAGGCCAGGAATCCAATGCTCTGTTTGTTCATTTGAGGGATAACAAGCATTGCATTGACTGGGATAATGCCTCCTCAATAT